TGGGTGAGACCTTATTAGAGGTATCCAAAGAGAGACCACACAGGGGAGAAGGACCCCTGGGCATCTGGCCAAGGAGATTTGAATCACTGGAGGCTCTCACACTGGAGGGTGTAAGAGTAGGGGCCCCAGCTGAAGAAAAAGAGTCCAGAAAGCATTTGGGTGTTGAGTGTGGACTAAGCTATCTCCTTCAACCCCACAAACACCTGGGGTACACAGCCTGTTGCTAACCACATAGTGAGGGCAAGGTGGGCCAGCAAACGCAACCTAGGTCTCTGCTCTTTCCACCCCATGCTGTTGACCAATTTGTTCTAGCATGGGGAAAATACTGGAAGGTCTGAGTGCCCCTCTGTGGAAGTTCTCAATTCAATTAAGCCAATTAAGGTCTGAAAGATGAAAGAGCATCAAAATGGCACATTCCCTGCCCTTGCAATGCCTACAGGCCGTCCTCGGCAAGCAGCCCAGGCCGGAAACCGTCAGACCTGCAGAACTGATGGAGCCAGTCACTTCTGTTTTTGGCGATTTCAGTGATGGCTTCTGCCCTTATGCAAATTGGGGGAGGCCACTGTCCAGGCTTACAGGGAGCCCAGGGAGCAAATATCTGCTCTCCCCAGCAGCCACAGCCACTAAAAGTGGGCCTTACCTTAACTGATGGGCTGCTAATTGGGCTGTGATTGGTTGAGTTCACCAAATAGAAAGTTAGAAATCATGCCCAGCCGCAGCTCACCTTGTCTCCGTGCATCCAGGAAAGTAACTCTGCCTTCCCACGGCTCTGGGCTCCTCCTTGATGGTCAGGCCCTCATTTACTCATTACCTCCAAGGTCCGATCCCCATCCAGGGCTGACCCCATGGTGGACCTCCTACTGGTTCAATGGGCAACAGCATATCTCAGAGAACTAATGATCCAGCGAGAAAGTTGCTCACCACATATTACATTGCCAAGCACAGAGAAATAGGAATGAGCTGAAGGAGTAGAGATTCTGCAGCGATTACTTTGGGCTGGAAAACTAATTGGCAGAAACTTTCTGGGAAATGGTTCATTGGAATTGTGACTAAGAGACTGCATTAGAGGTCAGCAGGTGGAGATGGGAGAAAGGTTGTTGTGGGCTGTTAGGGCTCAGAGTTGTGTGGTTGTGGCAGAGTGATCGATGACTCTGAGTAGGCCAGTATATGGTGTAGTGGACAGGCCAGGGGAAGGTGCTTTGAAGGAATTTTGAAGGTGTTTTGCTTCATGGGACTGGGATGGAAACAGAAGGCACCGCAGGACCTGTTATGATGGGAGAAACAGGGATGGTGGTGACCTAGAGTGCTATAGCAGCCAGTTGCTTGGTCTGAGGGAGATCTCAACAGCAGTAGACATGACGGGGTTTACTTGGTGTGGGTAAAATGGGGAACGCTGCAGTGGGGGAGGACCAGCAGGGCCAGCTGATAGGGTGGGAGGGCTTGGCCTCAGGGCAGTGGCAGGGGGACAGGACAGCTCCATCTCCAGCAGTCTGTCTGGCTGTGGGGAGGGAACACAGCTTGACCTCATCAGAAGCTCTGCCTAGTATCCTCACCGTGACTCACCACAGATCCAATTGGCCACCGCAATGCCAGCAGCGCAGTCAGGAGCAGCTCAAGGACCTGGTGCATCTCTGTCTGGCACATCAACTGTTGCTTAAGTGAGTGTAAGGCCACACTGAGGGTCACGGACAAAGTAGGAGGGGGAGGACAGAACTGGCCTAGTCAGGTGAGGGGTGAGGGGGAGCCACAATGTCCACCAGGGTCCCCAGGCTTGAGAAATGATGCCAGAGGGCTGGGAAGGTGGCTCAGTGGTAGGGCGCTTGCCTTGCATGCTTGAGGCCCTGGGTTTGATTCCTCAGCACCACATAAGCAAAAAGAAAAAAAAGCTAGAAGTGGCGCTGTGGCTCAAGTGGTAGAGCCCTTGCCTTGAGCTGAAGAGCTGAGGGACAGCACCCAGGCCCAGAGTTCAGGCCACACAACCAACAAAAAAAAAAAAAAAGAGCAAGAATTTCTGTTGAGCCCATTCATCATCCAACAGACCCTTCAGTCCTCCCCCAAGCCCACAGCCACCCTACTGCCTCTCTTCTCCAAGAGGCTGGAGAGGCTGAAGAGATGAAGGGCTCCAAAGGAACCAAATCCTCCATCTGGCTTCCTTTTCAGAAAGGGCCCCTGTGGCATCCTTAGGCAGCTCAGTTGGCCCAGCTAGGGCCCGGGGGCTGCACGAGCAAACTCAGAAGCCTCACTTGCTGAGGGCATCCGAACCTGGGGCAGGTGCCAGCCACTACTGTGTCTGGGCTGGCAGAGTTTGAGGACCAGTGAGGACCAACGTCACAGTTTTGCTGTCTGGTGTCCTTGCACACATGGTGCCATTGATGGGTCCTTTGCTAGCACCTCTGCTGTCTGCAGCCTAAAAAGCCAACTTACAGTGGGTGGAGGTGGGGAGTTGCGCTGGCCTAAGCCAGTGCCTACACAGACTAGACTTACCCATATCCTACGGCAGCCAGCAAGTTTGGGTAGAACTTAAACCTGACAGCTTCAGTTGCTACACACTGAAGCTAACAGAGGATGCATGGAGCTCAGGGCAGAGAAAGGAGGGCAGAAGGTGTACACAATTCCAAGCAAAGGCCCTAGGGAAGGGGTGGGGCTGGAGAGGACAAGGAGTGCAGGTGTCAGTCAAAAGCGGCCATCACCTCCTTGAGCTGTCATTTGTCTTGGTCAAGTCTTGGTTTTCTGCACTGGAAAAATAAAGAATTACTCACCAGGCACCTGTGGCTCACGCTTGTAATCCTAGCTACTCAGGAGGCTGAGATCTGAGGATTGCGGTTCAAAGCCAGCCCGGGCAGGAAAGTCCATGAGACTCTTTTCTACAATAAACCACCAGAAAACCAGAAGTGGCCCTGTGGCTCAAGGGGTAGAGCGCTAGCCTTGAGCTGAAGAGCTGAGGGACAGCACCCAGGCCCAGAGTTCAAGCCCCACAACCAACCAAAAAAAGAAAAAGAAGAAAAAATGAAAAGGAGAAAAAGAATGAGTCATGCCACCACCTCCTAGGTGACTGGAGTGCATGTTCAGAATGCCTGCTCATTGCTCACCTTGTGCTCAGTTAAGCAGAAGGGCCACAGCCCCTCCTTCATGTCCAGAATCTATCTACTCCCTCTCTTCCTTCCAGTCTCTCCACATGCCCCCATGTGGGGAGCTTTTGAGCCTGGTCTTGTGTCTATAGCTTAGTCTTGGTTGATGCCCTGTCCTCAGAACTAAGTGCTGAGCACTTAGTTGGTACTTAGTAAATATTTGTAAGACGACCAACTGAAAAAGAACGAGGGAGAGGTTTGTGAGAGTGGAAGAGGATGGGAAGTCATGTGTCTACTATTTTGTTCCCACATCTTCCAGAAATGAGGGCTGCTCCAGGTAGAAAGTTCTAGAAAGTTAACATGTAGGTGCTTAAACTTTAGAAATGGGATGGGCATTTTTTGAAGTGCCTCTTATGCCCAGCAGACCTTATGGACAGTGATGTATACATGTGCCCAAAAGCAGAGGCTGGGGGATAGGTTTTTTGTTTGTTTGTTTGTTTTGATTTGTTTCCTACAGCTTCTGCTTTTCCTTAAGAGCTATGGTGACCTCAGTACTCAGCATCCAGTGGAGAAAGGGGGGCTTATAAGAACGAGGCTGTTGGGCTCAGAGTGAAAAGTGGGGCTTTTCTGTAAACAAAGGCCACTAACTTGGCCACCTCTATTTTGGCTATCTAAGGGGCCACTTTGCTTTCTTCTGGGCTCTAAGGTATTGTGTTTCCATGAGTGGTTCTAGAAACCTGGGTGGACGATGGCTAAGTTCTGATTCCAAGAGGATCATTCTGAGCCTGAAGCATCCCCAAAGGTGAGAGGTTGGACCCAACTGAACATGTTGCCAGGAGAGATGTTTGCTGATGGGAAGGCCAAAGCTGTGTGCACTGAAGCTTACTGGATCAGTTCCAGAAGGACATGGCATGTTTAGGATATGACCTTGGGGCATGTTCCTGCTTACATATAGAGTAGGCAAGGAGGAGGTAGGAGAGCAAAGCTGGAGAGCGCTGCAGACCAGCAGAGGAAGTGGGCAGGAGAGCCCTATGGTCCCAAGCATATGGCCCTGTGAAGGCCACACAGGGCAGTCTAGGTGACAGCTTCTTGGGTGATGTGAGCATCAAGTGATGTGGGGAGACCATGAGAGCAATGACTGGTCTTTTGTAAAGAGGAGCGGGCTGGATGCTATCAGCGTGGGAGGTCTTAGAAGCCCCAGTAACTCTGTGCTGGGGGCTTGCGACTTCACAGAGTCACCAGTAATGGTGGCTGCCCTTTCCTGATCCCTCCCCTAATTCGGCGCTCCCATCCTTTCCATCCCACCTCCCTCTCCTTCCAGCCCTCCTTTTTTCCTCCTCTCCATCTCCCTCCCTCTGGGGCTCCTTCCCCACCTCCAGGTACCCTCAGGGTCACAGAAACACCCTGCACACTGAGCTTTGACCTGGAGCCCAGCTGGTCCTGTCCATGGCTCAGCCTGTTCCCTAGAGCCCTGCACCACCCTGGGCCTGAAACTTCAAGCCACAGAGGCTGTGCCTGAAGACCACGGGAGACTTAGAGTACGCCCACCGACTTGGGGAGTCTGAATCAAATCAGACCAAGGAGGGAGGTGGGGGACGAGCAAGAAGCTGGTAATAGGGCACTGATGACCCACCCATGTGGGGCCTTACTTCAGGGGGTTTCCGAATGAACTTGAGGGGCAGGAGGGTAGCTAGCAGTTGGCCTCAACATTTCCTCCTTCCCCACCCAGCCAAGCCCTCCTAGGTCAGGTGCTAGGGGTGGGCACAATGGGGGAGCAGGAGGGCTGGTAGGTGGAGCCAGGCTAGGAGGGGATTTTGCACTTCGTGAGACACGGTTTTCACTGAGTGAAAATTTATAGAGGATATTCTGAAAGACTGGGCCTTAGTTTTGTCTAAACTGCACCCGAGCCTCTTGTCACCTCCTTCTCCCCAGGTACCCATACTTGGCCACTTCCCTACCAGCACCTCGCCTTGCTCAGCACGGGATCTAAGGGGCCAGCTGTCCATAGCTGTGGCTGAGCTGAGGCTGCACCCGTGAGAAGATGGGCGACATGGCCAACAGTTCCATTGAGTTCCACCCCAAGCCTCAGCAGCGGGAGGCCCCGCACGCTGGTGGCTTTGGGTGCACGCTGGCTGAGCTGCGTGCCCTCATGGAGCTCCGAGGGGCCGAAGCACTGCAGAAGATTCAGGAAGCCTACGGGGACGTCAGCGGGCTCTGTAGAAGACTGAAGACTTCGCCCACTGAGGGTAAGTCCCTCTGTGTGCAGGGCTGCAGCAGTGCCTGATAACGCAGGGCCTGCTTACTCCACAGGCCATGGTCATGGCCATGGGCTCTGCAGTGCTCCCGCAGAGGCGGGAGGGGCTGTGAGTAGAGGGGGACCCAGGTGACTCTTGGAGGACTTAAACAGTGGCATCCTGACTGTGTCCTCTCAACCCCTTCCCTCGAGTGGAAAATGTTCTTGGTGGGGAGCAACTATTTTTCTCTAGGTCCTGGGGATGGCCTGACTCCTTACCTTTATCTCTTTAATCAGTTATTCTGCATGTGTAGAGTAAGGTGGTAAGGTGGACATAGACACCTATAAGGCATGCACACACAAGTGGAAGGCCCTGGATGGAAATCCTGGAATCCCAGGATTGATGGAGGAGGAAGATGGTTGTGTGTATCTGGGAGCTGCCTATGTCCCCAGTTCTCATTCCTATGTTCAGTTAAGAGAGATCAGAAGATCTGGGCACCGGTGGTTCATGCCTGTAATCCTAGCTACTCAAGAGGCTGAAATCTGAGTATCGTGGTTCAAAGCCCAGGCAGGAAAGTCTGTAAGCTTCTTATCTCCAATTAAACACCAGAAAACCAGAAATGGTGCTGTGGCTCAAGTGGTAAAGGGCTAGCCTTGAGCTGAAGAGCTCAGGGACAGCGCCCAGGCCGAGTCAAGCCCTACAACCAGAAAAAAAAAAAAAAAAAAAAACATCAGAAGAGGGGCTGGGAATGTGGTTTAATGGTAGAGTGTTTACCTAGCATGTGTGAAGAATTAGTACCATATAAACAGTAAAAGCCAGAAGTGGTGCTGTGGCTCAAGTGGTAGAGTGCTAACCTTGAGCAAAAGAAGCTCAGGGACAGTGCCCAGGCCCTGAGTTCAAACCCCAGAACTGGCCAAAAAAAAAAAGGGAGAGAGAGAGATGAGCAGAGGAGGAAGGGGTACAGGATGGAGGTCCAACTGGGCCACGGGAGACCTTCTGGGGGGGGGGGGGAGCGGTAACCTGGGAATGGTACAGGGACATTTGATTCTGATGGGAAAAGTGCCTGAAGCTACTCCACAGCAGCCCCAGAGTACCAACTGGAAGTGATAGTGTTCACAGGCTGTCCCAGAGAGATGCCAGCCTGAGAGGCTCAAGGCAAAACTTGGTGAGCATCCTCTGGGAGGATATGGATGGAGGCCTGACTGCCATCTTGGATCGTCATCCGATGGAAGCAAAGCTGTGCCCTTCCCTCAGCCAGTCTGCCTCAGCCCTCGTGTTTGGGGTCTGCTATGAGGCAGGGACCACCCAGGAGCCCCAGCCAACCCCAGATTTCAAGAGCTGGAGCACTCTCTGGCCCAACTGGCACAGGCCTGGCAGGATTGCCGGGCTATCCCAGCCTGATGCCAGGCCTGCTTCCCAGCCAGCGCTGATTGATTTCTTCAGCTGCCCATCTCACTGGCAGCACCTTGGCCCACCCGGTGCTGCTAGTCCTGGCCATCATCCGGGGCTCCTCCTGGTCCCTGGCACCCAGGTCCTGCCCGTTTGGGTTTCTAAATTGATCTGTTACTTCCAACACTCCTGTCCATTTCCTCTACTCTGGTCTAGATTCAGCCCACTCCTTCCAGCCTCCTTGCCTGGCGCTTGCCCCCTACTTGGAGACTTGAGGTCCCAAACAGGATCCTATTATTCTGGCCTCACCAGAGTTGGGACTCACAAAGCACCACCTGACTGCAGCCAGTGGAGCATGAGTCCCAAGGAGGAGTCGAAGTGGGGAGAGGCAGGCCTGGGGACCCGGCAAGGAACTCTGAGGAGGAGTGCCCCCGCAGGCCACTTGGGTCTCCCTATGTGGCACTGTCCCGCCTGCTGCATGCACCAGCCTGAAGCAGCATTCTGTCAGGGCAGATGGCTCGGCCCTGTGCCAAAGGATCTCTTTTCCTTCCCTCCTCCTTGCCCACCCCCCTGAGGATTCAGAGGAGGCTCGGGTAGAGGGCCCTCTAGCCACAAGGGTCCTGGCCTCTCCCAGATCAAAGGAAGCAGATGGGCTTCAGCTGCCTGTCAGGCCTTGTTAAATATTTAAAATGTCAAGGCCCCTGGGAACCTGACTGATTCTGCCACAGAGCTTGGGAGCTCTCCTGCGGAGGGCGTGGGCATTGGGGAAGGGCAGGTGCTCCAATGGGAGTCCCAGCCCCTGAGTGGCTTCTGAGCACCTGGGTCTCTGCGCACCGCCCCCCCCCCACTCATACTCACTAGAGAGAGCCAGCCAGGGTTGGGTCTGCTGCCTGCTGAAAGACAGCCACAAGCTGTCTGGTGCCAGGACCGGGTGACTCTCGTTCCATATCTCCTCAGTCAGGCCATGTGTCTTAGGCGAGCACTGGCTCATCGTCAGGCATGCTGCTTTGCCTGCAGTTTCCATGCAGACTTACCAGTTCCCCACTCCTCCTCAGCTACAGTGGCCTGATTGTGCAGGGACTGCCTTAGCTGCACTTCAAGCCCCATAGAAACTCTCAGACAAGGTGGATGGGTAGACATCACGGTGCCCAGGAAGGGGGCTTATAGAGAGGAGGGAGGACAACTAGGTGGAAGACAGAAATTGGGAAAAAGACACTTTGTCTTCTGGCGATGAGCATATCCTTGCACTGCCCTTTCAGCCTTGTAGAGGCCCAGAATTCCAGAACCATCCCAAAGAAAGGTATGCCTATTTGGCAGAGAGCTGGAGCCTGAGTGGCAGGCTTACTAGGGACATTTGGGCCCTGCGTCCTCTCCTGTCTGCTCTCCACAGGCAGGCATGGGAAGGAGGGGACAGATTAGCTGAGAGCCGACACGATGTGGTCCTAATCCAATTCTGATGGCATCTGGCCTCTGCTCTGGGCAGACGGCCCATCTGTGTCCATGCCAACCAACTAGCCCCTGCCCCCCTGCCCTGGACCTGGGCCATGCTAGACCTGCTGAGTGGGCAAGTCCTCAGTACCAGAGGGGCCATAGCAGCTCCCCCCCCCCCACGGGTGCCATAGTAGTGGTGGCAGCTGTCAGACCCCCAGCCCGCAGGAGGGCCAAGGCCTCGGGGCCAAGCTGAAGGCAGCTGCCAATCTTGGGCAAAGGCGGCGGGGGGGGGTGGCGGGGGGGGGAAGACCTATAGTAGCAAGGACAAATCAAGGCCAATGACAAGGCAGGGGGAGGGGATAAGGTGACAGTTCCTGGGGAAGGGGCCCCAGGGCCCCATTGCCCTTGGGGACAATCTGAGCATGTGCAGTAGGGCAGGCAGAAAGCAGACTCACATGGTGATATATTGTCCATGTGTTTTCTAGAAGCTACAGTGAACTTCTGGCTGTCTTTAGGGGCTGCAGACCAAGGCCAGTGGAGAACTGGAGAAGCTGAGTATCTGGGAGAGTCGAGGTTCTGGTGTCTCCCTTGTAGTGACTCTATCTCATGCCTTGTGTAGTTGCAGGAGACAAGTCTTGGCCCAGAGTGAGGAACATGTCCCTCAACTGGGTCCCTGCCCCTCAGCTGCCACCATAGGAGCTGTCTCCCAGACATCCAACTAGGGAAGCTGAGGGCCCTTGGAAAGAGGCCTTAGGCCCCAGCAGAAATCTGAGCTGTCAGCTCAGGAGCAGTGAAGCCAGGGGGAAAAGGGCAGGGACAGCTGTGGCCCTTTGGTTGGGGAAGACTCCCTGTGGCTGTCACTTTGCTAGGATGACAAGACTGTGCCAGCTGGAGCTTTTGCTCTTCCACCTTGTATGAGGCCCATCCTGGCCCTCCACAAAGTCCCAATGTCAGCACTTGCTTGTTGGCACATTGGCTGGGGTCTGTTGTGAGTGCCCCATGGGTTGGATGGCCCTTCTGCGCTCCTCCAGCTCCTGCAGCAGGTGGCAGGAGTCAGGCCAGCAACTCTGGTCTGGGAACTGTAAACTGCCATCTGTCCACTAGGCGTCACTGTGGCACTGGGCACTTTGGGGGCTCAGCACTGGGGGGGTGGAGGTGGGCACATCCAAAAGGCCTGATTCAGCTCTGGTGAGAATGCTGAGGGCCAAGGGTAAATCTGGGGATGGCAGTATCTCACCTGCTTGCCCCTCGGAAAGTTGCTGAATGGCTGTGCGGGCTCAGAGACCAACACTTACATGCTGGACCTAAATGGGCCCGAGGAGATATGCCTGGCAGCACACAGGAGCAATCTGGGAGCGTGGAGGTAGCCTCCAGGGCTCTAGGCCATGAATGGAAGTCTTATTGGCCCCTGGGCCTTGCATCCATTGAAACTTAAGCTTGTGTTCCCCTTCCTTTCCTTCAGCTTGGCAGACTGCAGACAAAATGTCATCAGTATGAACCATTGACAAACTCATTCGCACCAGCCTCCTCGCTTCTTATCCTGATGAATAATAGGGAACAGAGTCAGATGAAGGGTAGCTGTCATTATGAGGCCAAGGCAGATAGACTGTAGAGCCCCCAAGGAAGCTAGCCAGTGAATTTGGCTAAGTACCTCTGAGTTACGTTCAAGCCCCAGGACTGGGGCTGGTGCTGGGGCCAGGCTCTGAGGAAGGCATTATAGAGGAGGCAGCTGCCTCTCTGAATACCTCCTGGCCACTTTGGGGCACCAGGCCCTTATTCGACCACTCTCTGGTTCTATGTCATGGTAGCTCAGCATCTGAGATGATGCTTGTGTTGACCTGGACAGCAGTTAAGGGCTGTGACTCATAGAAACAGTCCCTTCTGATCTCCAGCTCAGTACTCGTCTGGACCTTAGTGGGCAAAGCAAATCCCTCCCAGCTGATGAGCACCTACCCTAAGCTGCCCAGGGCCTCATTTCTGTGGGCGTGAGTAGAAGTGAGATGCTGCCAATATTCTGGCCTTGCTTGTTCCCAGTCCACCCAGTTTCTGAGACCCTTTTTTCTCTTTACATGAGACTGTAAGTCCCTTGAGAACCTGCAACCCCCCCCCCCCCCCACCGCTCTCATGCTTTCTCTCTCTTCTTCCCTGAGAAACTTCTGGAAAGTCGACCTCTACTCCCTGTCTCCAGCAGCCGCTCCTCTGTCACTCTTAGCAACCATGTTTGCAGAGATTCCTATATTTCTAGGCCCTGACACCCATGTGATCCTGGTATCTCTGTGCTTTGCCCCCTTTTCGGGTTAGGCTGTGTGACCTTGCATGTCTTTAGGACCAGCAGCCCATGGGATAAGACAAGGCTTGGTGGCTGTCCAGCTGTCAAGGTGTCCCTGTTTCAAACGTGCATTGCCATCTCGTAGACCAAGAAAGCCAAGTCAAATTGGTGGGAAGTAGACGTCTTTCTGGATGGGAGGAAAGCCTTACTTCAGATAGGGTACAAGCCACTTTTTTGGCTCCTTGGAAAACTAGGCTAATGTTCAGCCCCACTCCTGATAAGTTCATCTCCATGAACCCACTGAAGACATCCAGAAGTTTGCATTTTCTGCCAGCCACCCTGGGAGGTGGTGTTGGCTGCTCTTGTGTATTCTTGTTTCTGGAAGACCCTTGACAGCATAGAGCCCTGCTGGGTCCCCTCTGCACTTCCTCTTTGCTGGGCATTATCACTTTCCTGCAAATCCCCCTCCAAGATGGATTGGGAGAATAAGACAACACAGGCCTGGACTGAGAGAGTAGACAAGGGTCTACATTTGGCTTCTAGCAACTTGGACTGCCATAGTTCTGAAGCCTTCCAGGGCTGTTTCTCATGTGTGTATCACTAAGACTTTGATAGCCCCTTCCCAGACTAGTATCATTCCCTACTCTGGGGGCTCCTCGTGATGACTATGGAGGACTGCATGCTCACTGTCCCAAACTTAGTCTCCACACGTCTGCAGAAAGGTTTGTGGTGCCCAGCTGTGCAGCTACTGCCTCATCCAAAAATACAGGGTGGATGGAGAGGCAGGCTCTTAAGAACAGAGCCCCAAGAGCAGCTCCTGCAAGCAGCACAACTGGCAGGGCTGCTCAAGATGCCAAGGACTTAGGTCAACCTGTCCGATCCTCTCCTTCTATGTTTCTGCTGCCCTTCTGGCATGCCATGCAGGCCTAGCAGACAACGCCAATGACCTGGAGAAGCGCAGACAGATCTACGGGCAGAACTTCATCCCTCCCAAGCAGCCAAAGACCTTCCTGCAGCTGGTATGGGAGGCCCTGCAGGACGTAACTCTCATCATCCTGGAGGTGGCTGCCATTGTGTCTCTGGGCCTCTCCTTCTATGCACCACCTGGGGAGGAGAGCGAAGGTGAGGGGCAGGGCTCGGGGTTGGAAAGGGAGGAAGGAGAGCCCCAGGATATCCCCGCACCTGCCTTTCATGACATCTTCACTTCCTTTCCCTTCTGTCCTTGGACACAGCCTGTGGGAATGTGTCTGGCGGGGCAGAAGATGAGGGTGAGGCTGAGGCTGGATGGATCGAGGGGGCTGCCATCCTGCTGTCTGTCATCTGCGTGGTGCTGGTCACAGCCTTCAACGACTGGAGCAAGGAGAAGCAGTTTCGGGGCCTGCAGAGCCGCATCGAGCAGGAGCAGAAGTTTACGGTCATCCGCAACGGGCAGCTCCTCCAGGTCCCTGTGGCTGCACTGGTGGTGGGGGACATCGCCCAGGTTAAGTATGGTTAGTGTGCCAAGGAAGGTGGGCTAGAGGAGCTCCCACTCCCAGCACAGGTGTATCCCCAGGAGCATGTGTTCCTTCAATGCAGGGGGCTGGAGATGAGTGGGTGAGGCAGGGTGGGAAGGGACTTTGAGAAGCCACAGCGCTCCTTGAGAAGCAGGCTGTCCCCCTGGCCCTCTAAGGGTGGAAATGTTTTCTCAGTTCCTGAGAGATGGACAACACGGGTGTGGGGACCTCCTACCCAAAGAGGGCTCCCAGAGAACAGGCCCACCCTCAGGAGAAGCGGGAGGTAGTGGTGGGGAGAAGGGTTCCCGTGGACCCATGGCTTCTGGTTGCGGCTGTGGCCCACCTTTAGGAGACCTGCTGCCTGCGGATGGAGTGCTCATCCAGGGCAATGACCTCAAGATCGACGAGAGCTCCCTGACTGGCGAGTCGGACCACGTGCGCAAGTCAGCAGACAAAGACCCCATGCTGCTCTCCGGTGAGGGCCCAGCTTCCCAACCAGCGCAGTGACTAGTCTTTTGGCCCAGTATGTCCATCCATGCCAGCCTGCCAGACTTATCTCATGGAGAGGATTACCAAATCACCCTTCCAGTTAGGGAGTCTGTAAGGCCACAGTGGGCCACTGAAGACCTGATGGCAGCAGCCACAGGGCAAGCAAATGGACTCTGGCAGCTCAAGAGGACTTTAAGCAGCCTAAATAGGAAGCCTCAGGGGGGCTTTGTGCTGGTACATGTTCTCTTCCTAAATCCAGGCCCTCAAAAACACCCAGTAGAGGCAGTTTCCTTTCCAGAAGGCTCTGAGTTAGCTCAGTATTTAGCACAGTAGGAAATAAAGTGTACAATTGGACAGAAAGGCCAAAGGCCCCTGTGGGTCCCATGAATGGCTCATGCTATGCGCCTGGCAAGTACCTGACCTCTGGGGGCCTCTAAATGCCCTTCAGGCCAGGGAACAGGCTGTAGCTTAGGCCTGTCGTCTTATGGCCTGTTAGCTCTCCTGGCTTCTAGATGTTTGTGTCTCTGTCTCCAGAAATATCTAGGAGCAAACATGAGGGGCACTGAACATGTCTCCCATCAGGTGGTGCAAATCTTTGTATCAGGCTCTCTGTGTTCTGTGTCAGGTACCCATGTCATGGAAGGTTCTGGAAGAATGGTGGTGACAGCTGTTGGTGTGAACTCCCAGACAGGCATCATCTTTACATTGCTTGGAGCTGGTGGAGAAGAGGAAGAGAAGAAGGATAAGAAAGGTAAAGTAACACTGCTTTCCATTTCCAGAGCTGATAAGACGGTCTTCTTCTGTGTTGCTGTCCTTGCTTTTTTTGTCTGCCTATTGGCAGCGCCCTGCTGGCCAATCCTAGGCCCTCAAGGGATGGGAGACCATGCTTATTTGTCTGATTCTTCTCCAGATGTTGTAAGGGCAGTTTCCTTTAGATAGACTTGGGGTGCCTATGCCTGGAATAGGGTCAGAAGGACAGGGGCCATGGATTTGGAGGATGCAACTAGGACCTTCAGGCCCACGCTTAGAGCTAGCATGCATGGCCAGTGCTCCTTCTGAGCTTCAGAACTCATGAAGCTTCACATCTGCCCTTATTACTCCCTATCCCCAAGCTAGATGTGGAGCAGAGATTTCCTGATATGTGTCTACCTACTGGGACATGTTTACAAGTACAGACTGACTGCCCAGGTGGACAGAACTCTGCTTCCAGCTGTGAGGCCCTGGAGCCAGTGAGCTGGGGACAGGACAGTTGGTCTTAGGCTGCTAGAGCTGAGAGAGCAGATGGGGTTGGTCATCTCACCCTCAGCTACACATGGACAGGTCAGCAGAAACATTAGCAGCCCCAGCGTCAGGTACCTCTTGAAGGCCCCTGCTTCTGGAGAACAGGGAGAGAGGAGCTAAGCAAGCTGCTATTGCCTGCAAGTTTCTGTGATCCCAGGCTTCCATGCATATTTCCCTACATGGGGACCTCCCTGCCCCCTGATAGACGGGCCCTCCATTGCTGCACCAAACCCTCTGTCCCTACAGGACTCAGCCTATGTCCCTCCTCCGTGAGCACTATGGGGGCTCACAGGCAGGTGGGTAGCATCTGGGCCTCATCTGGTCTGGACTGGGATAAAATCCCAGTCCAACCAGGTCAGATGACCCTGCCCATTGGCTTCGTGTTCCTCACTAGTTGTCAGGGTGCTCGTAAGTGTAGGGGCTTCCAAGGCCCCCCACCCTGCTTGCTAGCCAAGGGTTACTGAAACCCAGACTATCCTGGTGTCTCCTGTGGTTCCTTTCCAGGCTCCTGGCTCCTACTCTGTCCCTTCAGTGTTGTTGAATGTTGGCAGTTCAGTGTTAGCATCTTTCACAGCTTGGTCCTGGGCTTTCTCCTCTGTCAACTTGACCAGAACCTTTTAGCTCCTCCCAGACCCTCCTTCACTCTTCTCTACTCCCCTCAGGCTATGCAACTTAACAGGTCAGAGTAAGTAAGCTTCCTGAAGGGGTCCAAGACAAAAAAATAATGGGTGCCATGGCCCAGGTCTCCTGCCTCCTGTGAGTCAGTCTAGCCTGTTGGGCACATTCTGAAGGCGTTCCCTGTCCACTTGCTGCCTGTATCTTCTAGTTTTATGGGTGTTTTTTTTTTTTCAGTACTGCAGTTTGAATCCAGCTCCTTGCATTTGGGAGGCTAAGTGCTCTACCATGCCTCCACCCCTTTTGTGCTCATTATTTTGGAGATACAATCATGCTTCATCTTGCTGGGTCACCTGTCTGGATCTTTTTAGGCTTTTCATTGTAGCTGAGATAACAGGCATGTGTCACCACACCCAGCTTCTTTCTATTGGGATGAAGGGTCAAGGATTTTTCTTCCCAGGCTGGGCTCAAACTGTGATCCTCTTATTCGCAGCCTCCCAAGTAGATGGGATTACAGGTGTGAGCCACCAGCAACTAGCTTCTTGCCTTTTAACCATGACTGCTATGCAACATGATTTCTCAAGACATTTTCCTGAAACACTTATCCTAAACTTCCTTCCCTTCCTCCCTTCTTGGAAGCCTCCCCTGACCCTATCTGAAACTTGGTTTCCACAGCTCCAGGTCTTCAGCCATATATTGTTATTGCACTGTTGTCCTATGCAGAACGATGTCTCCTTTTCTACCTTAGAAGTCTGCTTTACCTCAGAACCATCTGCAACCCCAAGAGGCACTGGGCAGAGAAGTTTCAAATCTATATCTTGCTCCAGACATGAATGAGATCTTTGTCTTCTAGTTGTCAACTCTAGACCCTGACCACATTCCCTGGGAGCTTCTTGGTGCCCTGGCATACCCTGTGTATATCCCTGGATCCCCAGGGCTCTGAGCTATTGGATGGTGCCTGGCAGCTCATCTCACAAACCCTCCCTGCCCTGTGCAGTTCATCTTTGGATATGGCCCAGTGCAAATGTGGTGCCTGGGCTAGCTCCACTAACTTCCATCCCACATGTGCAGCCCTCTGAAGAAGTGGCTGGTGTGTGGTAGGCTGTACTCACCAGTTGAGGTCCCCAGACATGTCTCCCTGGGATCTAGCCTATCCACTTTCTCCCAGTGCTGCTGGACACCCCATGTTCAGACTAGCCTTTCCACAAAATGGCTCTGGGAATACAATCAAAGCTTACTGTGGTTGAGCAATGACCTGGGGGTGCCCAGCAGGTCACAAAACCTTGGAGTCCTAGTGTGTGGTAACTGTCCCTTGAAAGCACCCTCAGCACTGAATGCTGGCAGTGGCTGCTGGAGAGACTGCTGTCTAGGATAAGATGGCTGGATGGATGCCACCAGGGCTTGGGAACCATCTAACTAAACCACTTCTATTGGGTCTTGGAGAGCAGCCATGATGACAAGGAGAAGGCTCTATTCAAGGGTCTCTTCCATAAGCCTACTTCTGTCCTGCATGATCCAGAGCTCATTTAGGGCTTTAGGGGTCAAAGCTAATGGGAAACACTGGCTCAGGGTTTTGCTCAGGAAGCGCAGAGAATGTGGGGTGACCACATATTGGGAGGTGGTGACAGTGTGAATCTGGAAAATAAAGGGTATGAACAGTGCCCCTCCATGGGTGATGTCAGGGCCATGAGCCATTAGGCCTCTCCTTCCCCTCTCTTCATCCCATGCACTCTTGGGCTGCGCTGTGTGTGCTCCAGCTCGGCTCGCTGTCTTGTGCATGTGTGTGTGTGTGTGTGTGTGTGTGTGTGTGTGTGTGTGTGTGTGTGTGTGTGTGATGGCCACATGGATGTTCTCAAGTCTCTGTGTCTGTCGTTCCTCTTCCATTGTAGGCAAGCAGCAGGATGGGGCGATGGACAGTAGCCAGACCAGAGGTAATGAGTGTGCTGTGCTGCTCAGGGCAGCCAAGGAACCTGGGTGGGAAGGGGTAGTGCTGGGGAGAGTGGGTGCTGGTGGGGGGGGACCTTTTGCTGAAGTGGCAGAAGCAGCACCTTTGGACAGGTAAGTGTACTCCATGGCTTCATCTTGGCCAGAGGGTAGAGGGGGCCTCCACCCACAGACACTGCTGGAAGCCCAGGGCAGCCATCTGGAGGATAGTGAGTGGATGCCAAGGCCATTGGCATAGCTTGAGCTTGTCCATGCATAAAGACCACCTGTGAGTGGACAACCTGGTCCTACTTTGGCCACATAACAAAAACCTAAGGCACAGAGAAGTTGACTTGCTCAAAGTCCTGGGTTCTAGTCAGTCCAGTGGGTTTCCCAGCTCATCTTTCGTCTGTCTGAGCCCCTGGGCCAAAGTGATAGAGCAACCATGCAAGAGGCAGAGGCTCTGCTGGCATATCCTGGCACTCCTGCAAGGCATGTACTGCTTGTGAGTGGCTGGATGGCAGGCAGTGGCCTGTAAGTTCTAGGTGCTGGAAATGTAAAGGTGAGCGGAGCATATCTTGGCTCTCAGAAAGGTCACAAGGTAGAAGGATGGTCCAAAAATGTAACATGGTGTGTGCTGGCCTGAACACTGCAAGACTGACAGTCTGACAAGCCAATCGGAGCTTGGGAGCACAGTCATCCCACAGTAGGTTGGGACTCAAAGCTACAGTGACCCACCTGGGTAGGGCCTCACATGTCCCTCAGGCTGCCAGGAGGAAGGAGCTGCCAGCCTCGGATTACCATGTGAAAGAAAAGATGCAGAAGTGATGGCCATAGTGCCAAGAGCCTCCACTGTCTGGCGGGGCAAGGGTGATGGGGAAGGAAGGCAAGCTAGGGGATCTCCATTGCTAGGTGAGGTAGCCTCTCCCCAAGATGAGTGGACGAAGCAGGAAAAGTGGTCATGATTACTTTGGGCAGTGCAGAACCCCTCTGAGCTCAAAGAGTGTGAAGTGAGAGCTGGGAGAGCAGCACGAGGAGGGATCTAGAGATGGCAGGGGACATGCCACCACTGTGGCAGAGCAGACAAGATGAGGAGCAAGACAGCCCCCAGGGGAAGAGTGAGGGGAGCCTTCTGCTTCAGCGGAGACAGGGACGTGACAGAAAAAGCTGCCCAAAACAGTCGCGGGAGCCAAAGGGAGGAATGACTTGAGCAGGGAGCAGGGGTGGCTGGGCCATGGGGAGGGTGTACTGCGTTCTTATACCTCCTTGAGGGGAACAGGGAGGTAGCTTAGACACCAGTGGGTAGATGGGTCAGATTCGGTTCCAGAACATTCCTTGGACCACAGGACTTTGCTCTCAGGTATTGAGATTTAGAGTGTTCTAGGACTGGCCACCTTGTCTGTGTGCCCAAGTTCCTTGTGCTTGTGTCTGTCCTCCTTTGCTGTAAGAGAGCCATTTCTGTCCCACCTACGACAATGTTGGAGCTTTCCTATCTCGAGAGGGCCTGGGTTTAGGAGACAAGAGAAGGGACACGGACAGACTTCCTTTGTCATGTTAAGCTTGGAAATAAATCCCCTTTCCTCTCCTGTAGTATGGTGTGTCTTTCCCTGTGATAGCCCCTTGTAGCCCCTTCACCCTGGCTGGGCCCTCACTTTGCCTCTGGGGTTCCTTTGTGTGCAGCTAAGAAGCAGGATGGGGCAGTTGCCATGGAAATGCAGCCTCTGAAGAGTGCGGAGGGTGGTGAGATGGAGGAGCGGGAGAAGAAGAAAGCCAATGTGCCCAAGAAGGAGAAATCGGTCCTGCAAGGGAAGCTCACGAAACTGGCGGTGCAAATTGGGAAAGCAGGTAGGGACAGCTTGAGGCAGCAGGCTAATGCCACCGACTGGGCCTCAGATCGCTAGACCTCTGGAGATGGAGCCAGGAAAATGGAATATGACAAGTGGTGTGGGCTAGGGAACCAGGCTGGGAGGTAAGGCCCTGGCCCAGCCTCCCTAAATGAACATGGATTATTCCAAACTCCCTCCTAAAGCCCAGGTCACACACTCACCTCTCCACCTCCTTTTCCCAACACTCCATGTCTAGGACATGGTCAGAAGGCAGCCAGCACCATTTAAGGGACTGCTGGCCAGACTCCTGACATCTGAGGGCAGGCTAAGGGTGATTTTACCCAGGCATGCTCCTCAATCTGTAAGGCTGGCTGCTTTCACACTATCCTGAGAAACTCAAGTAATGACCATCCTAGGCACTGCTCCCCCCCTTATCCACCAAGCCATCCCCCAAACTGTTTATCCCAGAACATGAATCAAATCAATCTGCCCTTTGAAAACATTCTGGCTAGACCCAAGCACAGTGACTCATACCTGTAATCCTAGCCACGCACGAGACAGAGCAGAGGATTGTGTGTGGGTTGGGAACATCATTGTTCAAGGCCATCCTGGACAAAGCGTGAAAGACTCCCCCATCTCAACGAACAAAAGGCTGGGATGGCAATACCCACCACCAGTCTTGGACCAGGCTGGGCTAGGACCTTATGAGTCCTATTTGAAAACTAACTAAAGCAAAATGGGTCAGGGATGTGGCTTACATGGCAGGAGCACCTGCTTAGCAAATGAAAGTCCCTGAGTTCAAACCCCAGTACTAACAAAAGAGAAAAACAGGGAAGGAGGGAGAGGGGGAGGGTAGCTAAATGGCCCTGATCAGGCGCAAGCTAGCCACAGCTGTAGTGCCCCTTACCTCCCTCTTTTTTTTGCCAGTCCTGAGGCTTGAACTCAGGGCCTAAGCACTGTCCATGAGCTTCTTTTGCTCAAGGTTAGCACTCTACCACTTGAGCCACAGCGCCACTTCTGGCTTTTTCTGTGTATGTGGTACTGAGGAATTAAACCCAGGGCTTCATGCATGCTAGGCAAGAGCTCTACCACTATGCCCCATTCCCAGCCCCTCCCCCTTACCTCTCTTTCTCTTTTCCTTTCTCCTCTTCCACCTGTGATGGCCTCCTTCCGCCACCGTCTTTGTGAACTCCATCATGGCTGAGCAGGGCTGGTGATGTCTGCTATCACTGTCATCATCCTGGTTCTCTACTTTGTGATCGAGACCTTTGTGGTGGAGGGCCGCGTGTGGTTGGCCGAGTGCACACCAGTCTATGTACAGTATTTTGTGAAGTTCTTCATCATCGGCGTCACTGTGCTGGTGGTGGCTGTCCCCGAGGGCCTGCCTCTGGCTGTCACCATCTCTTTGGCTTACTCTGTCAAGGTAATCGTTCATAATACCTTGTGTAAAAATGTGAGAAGTTGTACAAAGGGGTTTCAATTCAACAAGTCAGATTATGAGTACAATGCATCTTTATAATACTTGCAATCGATGACAGAAACAGCAGCAAGATGTCAGCAAGCACTTTGCGGTGGTGAGAACAGGGAAGGGGTTCCTGTCTCTCAGAGGAGCCCCTGAGAGGGACTGAGGGATAGCTTTGCTGGCCCATCAGAGTGAGCCCTATGCCCACTCAGCTCCCTGGGCACAGAGAGATAAGTTGGAAAGCAAGTGCATAGTGAGGTACACTTGAGGATTGGCAGTTGGGACCCAGGTAGGAGGAGGCTGGAGGGTCTGGGAAGCAGAGACCTGGTGTTGAACACAGAATGGGGGTAGGGGGCAGGGCCTCCTGGAACGCTGGGAGGCAGTGATTAGAACATGAGAGAGGAAGGATGGCGTGAAGGGGGTGGAGGAAGAGGGGCTATGGCAGGGTGGCATTAGGCAACATCCGAGGAGAGGGGTTTCCTAGAACCTGAGTGCTCCCCATTTGATGAGTGCATACATCTTCAAGATCTGTTTTGATTCAAGGCCACCACGTAGCCCAGAGCTGACAAAGGCACCATGTTTGAGCTGACCAGGCCTTGTTCCTCTTGCTGTAATGAGCAAACAACCCAAGTGCCCCTCACCTCATTTTACAGAAAATGATGAAGGACAACAACCTGGTACGCCATCTGGATGCCTGTGAGACCATGGGCAATGCCACAGCCATTTGTTCAGATAAGACGGGCACCCTCACCACCAACCGGATGACCGTGGTCCAGTCCTACCTAGGAGACACCCATTACAAAGAGATTCCATCTCCCAGCGCCCTGACCCCCAAGATCCTTGACCTCCTGGTCCATGCCATCTCCATCAACAGTGCCTACACCACCAAAATACTAGTGAGCTGGGCCAGGAGGGCAGGCGGCAGAGCCACAGTGGGATGTGGGGCGGGGCCTGGGTTGGGGCGTGGCTTGAGCTGTGCTGAGGGGCTCCCTAGGTGTTCTTAAGAACTTTCCAGGGGCTTAAGAGCATAGCAAAGTGTAGTGGTAGAGTGCTTGCCTAGCATGCATGAAGCTCTGGGTTTGATCGCCAGCACCATCAGAAAACCGAAACCAAGAACTTTTGAGCTAAGTGTCCGGGGTGCTGGTAACCTTCCTCACAGTCGTTCGCATGACAAGCTGCTCTGGCTGCTGGGTGGGGCCTGGCAGGTTCTAGCAGTTCCTTCTAAGACTCATGAAAGATGGGACACTGCTTGCAGAGGGTCCCTTGGCAGCTAGGGCATGGTCTAGCGAGCCCACATGGGGACTTTCCTCTGCCCCACCACACTTTAACAACGTGGTGGCCACAGCTGGGCAGGAGCCTTGGCCTGGGAATGGTCCAGAGGGGGCTCTCCACCCCAGCGCCATGCTGGCTCTCCTCGTCCCGCAGCCTCCAGAGAAGGAAGGCGCTCTCCCACGCCAAGTGGGTAATAAGACGGAGTGCGCTCTGCTGGGCTTCGTCCTAGACCTGAAGCGGGACTTCCAGCCTGTGAGGGAGCAGATTCCCGAAGATAAGCTTTACAAAGTGTACACCTTCAACTCGGTCCGCAAATCCATGAGCACAGTCATCTGCATGCCTGATGGCGGCTTCCGCCTCTTCAGCAAGGGAGCCTCGGAGATCCTGCTCAAAAAGTGAGTGGGTCACCCCAGGAGTCAGGGGCTGGGTGTCTGGGGGTTGGCTGAAGGGTACTACCAAAATCTTTCATTGTATTGTTGTGAGGAAACTGACCTGACACAGAATTGTCCATTCGAACCACTTTAAATGTACAATTCAGTGCAGTACAATTCAGTATATCCACAAGGCCATGGAGCTCCTAAACATTTGCCTGCCTTTCCAAAAGAAACCCCAGGATCATTAAAGAAACATTCCCCACCCCGCTCCCTCTTCAGCCCTGGCAACCACAATCTGCTTCCTGCTCCTATAGATTTGACTGTTCTGGACATTTCATAGAAGTGGAACTGTTAGGCTGGGAAGGTGGCTCAGTGGTAGAGTGCTTGCCTAGCATGCATGAGGCCCTGGGTTCGATTCCTCAGTACCACATACACAGAAAAAGCCATAAGTGGCGCTCTGGCTCAAGTGGTAGAGTGCTAGCCTTGAGCAAAAGAAGCTCAGGGACAGTGCCCAGGTCCTGAGTTCAAACCCCAAATCTGGCAAAAGAAAAAAAAAAGAAAAAGAAAAAGAAGAAAGAAAGAAAAAGAAAAAGAAAGAGGAGAAACTGACACTTTGTGTCTGGCTTCTTTCACTGAACAGAATGCCCTCCACATTCATCTGTATATCAAAACTTCCTTTGCTTTTGATAGTTAAACAATATCTCATTGTATGGGGTATTGACTGTCTATTGACAGACCTTCTGGGTTGCTTCCATATTTATCATTAAGAATCATGCTGCTGGGGCTGGGAAGGTGGCTCAGTGGTAGAGCGCATGTCTTGAATGCATGAGGCCCTGGGTTCGATTCCTCAGCATCACATAAGCAAAAAGAAAAAAAAAGCCGGAAGTGGCACTGTGGCTCAAGTGGTAGAGTGCTAGCCTTGAGCTGAAGAACTGAGGGAAAGCACCCAGGCCCAGAGTTCAGGCCCCATGACCGGTCCCAAAAAAAAATTTAAAAAAAAAAAAAAGAATCATGCTGCTATGAACATTCATGTGCAAGTTTGTGTTTGCATGCATGTTTTCAACTTTCTTTTTCCTAAATACTGTGTTAGCTTTCTGTTACTATGTCATCTGAGCTGGACACAGAGCTGCATACCTGAAGTCCCAACTACTCAGGAGGCAGAAGTGGGAGGAAGCCTTAAGCACAGGAGTTCAAGGCCAACCTTGGCAACATAATGAAATTGTCTCAAAATATTTTGAGATAAATCAACTTTTATTAAGAGAAAATTTTTATTTTGGCTTATACTTTGGGGAGGTTGCAGTCTAATAGCAATTGGCCAGAAAGTATGTCATAAACCAAAAAGCCATTCATGTCATGGTTGCAATGAGAAAGAGAAAGACCTAGTCCCATAAGCCTCGAGGGCACACCCCCAGTAACATACACCTCTCAGTAGGCTCCTCCTCTTCAAGTGTCCACCACCGTACAATAGCAGCATCAAGCTAGGGACCAAGCCTTTGTGAAATAGTCCAGTCCTAAACTATAGTGTGTGTCCTTGGTCCTTATGCCCATCTCGTGATATTAAGATGCATTTTTCCAGTCCATGTCTAAGAGTCTCCAAAGTCTTAACTTTTCCAGTATTATTCAAAAGCCCAAGTTCAAAGCCTCCTGTGAGCCCTTGCAAAAAGAAAAAAGAATATTGTGCACTTCCAAGATACAATAACATGGGAGACAATAACATTCCCATCCCCAAAGAAGGGAAATAAGAAAAGAATGAGGATCTGGCCAAAGACAGACCAAAACCCAGGAAGGCAAACATTAAATTTGAAATCTCCAGCATGTGGGGCACACTGTGTTTGGATCTAGGCTCCCAAAGCTTGACTAGCCCCCACCTTTGTAGCTTTACTGGTCGCAGCTCATATGGGCCTGGCGTGTACTGGTTGTTCTCACTGCCTGCAGCTTCAACTTCACTGTCACAGCTTCCTGCAGCCCCCTGTTGGGGGCTGTGTGCAGAGATTCTGACCCTGACACACACAGCTTACCCCTGGGTCTTTCTTTGAAATCCATGTGCAAACCTTCATGGCCCTGTAACCCTTGTGTATTATGTGCCTGCAAAAGCCAGTACCATAAGGATAAAGTCATGGTCAGCCACAACTGAAGCTATACCTGAGCTCACTTGAATCATGGCGTCAGTGTGTTTTAGATGCCTTGCTAGCTAAACATGTGGGGGGGGGGAACGGCGGGGGGGGGGGGGGGAGACTCAAAGGGAAATGAATCATTAAATGCTTGCTCTGGGGTTCTCCTCAAAAGATCCTGCCCTGGAAAGCCTAAAACATGAAGTGGAATTTCTCCTTCTCTGAAAAATGGTTGATGACCTTGATGATGGTTGTGACCTTGAAAAATTTTAAGATTCCTTACCGGCCTCTTATTGTCTCCATGTTTGAACTCAGGACCTCGGCACTGTCCCTTAGCTTTTTTGCTCAAAGGCTAGCACTGTACCACTTGGTGACTAGAGATAAGAGACTCACAGACTTTGCTGCCAGATTAGCTTTGAACTGCAATCCTCAGATGTCAGTCTCCTGAGTAGCTAAGATTACAGGCATGAGCCACTGGCTCCTGGTTCTTTACATACAGTTGATATTAAATCCTTATCAAATACATGACTTGTTTTTCCTGCCATTCTACGGGTTGTCCTCACCCTTTCAACAGTGTCCCTACATGCATGAACGTTTTCAGATTATGATGAAGTCCAATTCATCTGTTTGCTGCTGTTGTTAATATGGGTGTTCCTTTAGTTTGGGGAGGGGTGTTGTTGTTTTGAGCCTTAGTGCCTGTGTGTAGTGTAGGCTGTCCTGAAACTTGCAATCCTCCTGCCTCCGCTTCTGCAGTTCTGAGATCTCAGATATGTGCCACAAAAAGGCCCAGCATGGGTTTTTGTTGGTTTTGCCAGTCCTCAGGCTTCAACTCAGGACCTGGGTGCTGTCCCTGATCCTCTTTGTGCTCAAGGCTAGCATTCTACCACTTGAACCACAGCACTACTTCCAGGTTTTTCTGAGTAGTTTATTGGAGATAAGAGTTTCATGGACTTTCCTGCCCAGGCTGGCTTCGAATCACGATCCTCAGAGTAGCTGGGATTACAGGCATGAGCCATTGGCCCCCAGCACATTGTTGTTGTTGTTGTTAAAGTGATTAAAATGTTCTAAAGTTGACTATAGTGATGGTCGCAAGTATCTGAGAATATGCTAAAAAGGTTGAATGATACACTTTACATGGGTAAATTATAGGAGAATTGAATCTCAATAGTTAGTTGAAAAGCTAGAGGAGGAAGCATGTGGCCTTGTTTCTGAGCATGCCTGCTCCCCCTACCGCTTCCCTGCCTGCATACTTCCCCTGGGCCTCTGTTTTGTTCCCTACTCTCTCACCTAGCTCCTCCCATCCCTTCCTTGTGGTCCTTGGGAACTGGTTCCCAGGGTTCCCTGCGCCCCAGGCTCAGCCTACTCCCTGCTCTCAGCAGACTTGATCACCAAGTATGCCAGGCCCAGCCTCTGTAACCCAGAGCAAAGGTCATTTCCCTGCTGCATTTGGCATAGAAGCTGGAGTGCCGCCATCTTTCTGTGCTCCTTTAGTGGGTACTCAGGGCCACAGGGGCACTGTGGCTAAGAGCTAGGGTTTGTAAATGGGACTGAACCCCAGCTCTGCTCTGCTGGCTGTTTGAACAGAAGTTGCTCCTCCTGACAACCACCTTAGCTTCTCCTTTCAACATGAAGATAGCAGCAGTACTGATCTCCTGGAAGTACTGTGAGAATTCCATGAGTGAATCCATGTCTGTAGGAAGATGCTAGTCCATGCCAGCTTTTTTTAGTTTCCTTCTGCATAAGCCTAGCAGGCAGCACTTCTTTCACCACACCTGTCTCTCTGGCTGAGTTCTCCCCAAGTCTTGTTCCTTCTAGGAACCCCCTAGATTCATCAGGCTTGGACCCTGATGATTGCTGTTGCCTTGTCTTATCCCCACCCCACAGCATCTAGATTTTGCCTGTGTTCCCCACCATTGCCCTAGAGAGTCCACGGAAGAGCTATTTTGAGTCCCATGCTCCCACCTGGGTTCCTCAGCTGAGACAGTGGCACCAGCGTCCAGAGCCTGCTGTTACAAATGATCTCAAACCTACTGACTTAAACAACAGAAATTCAGCCGGGGAATGAGGGGTCACGCCTCTAATCCTAGCTACTCAGGAGGCTGAGATCTGGGAACTGTGGTTCAAAGCTAGCCTGGGCAAAAAAGTCCCAGAGATTCTGATCTCCAAATAACTACTCCAACATTGGAAGTGGCACTGTAGCATTGAGCATAAAGAGCTCAGGGACAGCACCCAGGCCCTGAGTTCAAGCCCCATGACTGACATAAATAGAACAAAACAAAACCAAAAAAAAAAAAAACCCCACAGACATTTGTCATCCTGGGCTGGGAATGTGGCTTAGTGGTAGAGTGCTTGTTTAGCATGCATGAAGCCCAGGGTTCGATTCCTCAGTACCACATACACAGAAAAGTCAGAAGTGGTGCTGTGGCTCAAGGGGTAGAGTGGCTAGCCTTGAGCAAAAGAAGTGCAAGGACAGTGCCCAGGCCCTGAGTTCAAGTCCCAGGACTGATTTTTTTAAAGGAAATTTGTCATTTCACAGTTTTAATAGTCAGAAATCCAGAGTGAAGGTATGGGCAGGGCTGTGCTCGCTCTGAAAGCTGCAGAAGAGGATCCTTGCTTGCCTCTCCCAGATTCTGCTGGTGGCCAGCAAACCTTGGCTTGTAGCTGCATCACTCCAATCTCTGCCTCTGTCATGGCCTTCTCCCCTGTCTGTGTCTCTGTGTCTTCTGCTGTCTTTACAAAGGACACATCATTGGCTAAGGTCTCACCCTTATCCAGTGTGACTGGCACTATTTCCTCTTGTTCTCTCCCTGTCCCCACCTTGCCCTACTGTCCCTCCCCTGTCCCAGGTGCACCAACATCTTGAATAGCAACGGTGAACTTCGAGGATTTCGTCCGCGGGACCGGGATGACATGGTGAAGAAGATCATTGAGCCCATGGCTTGTGATGGCCTTCGCACCATCTGCATTGCCTACCGAGACTTCCCTTCAAGCCAAGAGCCTGACTGGGATGATGAGAACGAGGTGGTGGGCGACCTCACCTGCATAGCTGTTGTGGGCATCGAGGACCCCGTGCGGCCTGAGGTAGTCATTGTGCTTCTGAAAGCTGCTCTCAAACCTGCATCCTGGGGCCAAGTTTGTTCACTGCGGGGCAAGGTGACCTTTCCTCACATCCAGCCTGTACAGTGTAAGGTTTTGGCCACAAACATGCATAAAGCGCACCTCTTTCCCCTACCTCCTCCTGCTCGAGTTACAGGTAGAGCAAGCCATCCAGCCTCTGGAGTGTGGGGAGGCTAGGTAAGGTGGTTATTAGCAGACCTTCCTCGGTATACTTGACTTCTTTCCGTGCTGGGCTCTCTTGCCCTTGACCTATGTAGAGATTCTGTGCTGCTCACCAAATGCCTGCTCCTGCTGGGCCCCTGAGGAGACTCAGGCAACATCTTCTACCAGGTGAGAGGTGAAAGCAATGAGACCTCCACCACCCGGGCCAATGGATTGAAGCGGGTGATGAGGTCTAGAGAGGAGTCATGCATGGCTGGTCTGGAAGCTTGAGCCATATGGTTTGGTGAGCAGGGTGAATAGTCAGCAGTCACCAGTCTAGATGGATCCAAGTGAGGTTCAGGACACCCATAGGGAGAGGTCAAGGCGGCGGGTGGCTGTAGGAGTGCAGAGCTCGGACCTGGAGGGAAATTCCAGAAGCATCTTTATATGACTGATGGCACCAGAGCAGTGTGCAGCTGAAACAGGCCAGACAGGGCGGAGAATGCTCAGGGTCCATAGAGCTGAAGCAAACAGAGTAAAGGAAGGTGAGTTAAGGAAGTTAAGGCCTTGATATTGGAAGATCATGGGCGACTTTGACCTGACAAGATTCTTGGTATTAGTAATATTCGGGCTTTTTTCTTTTAAGGTGGGAAAGCCTTGAGAGAGGCAGTCTGGTAGGACCTCCTGTTCCCAAACCCTGTCTATTGGTGCCCACCTCATGTTAGAAGCAGGGACACCTGGCTATTTCCTATTAGCCTGAAAGCACGTATTTGTAGGGGCTTCCACTGGGGGGGGGTGAGAAATTTCTTGCACTTACCAAAGATATTCAATTCAGAAGACAATGCTAGCCACATCTACACTGTGGCCGTGGGTCATTGTCAGAAGAGCAGCCCTGTGTTCCACAGACAACACTGTGTCCTTGGGTAGGAAGGGAACTGCTCTGAGAGAAACTACCTTGAGGCTGGCTTGGGAGAAGATGGATGGATGGGGGATGAACTACAGCAAGCAGCATCGGCGCAGGGAAGGAAGGCAGTGGTATGTGGTATGACACCCTGGACTAGCTGGGCAATATTCCTTTTTTTTTTTTTGGATCCAGTTGTGGGGCCTGAACTCTGGGCCTGGGTGCTGTCCCTCAGCTCTTCAGCTCAAGGCTAGCGCTCTACCACTTGAGCCACAGCGCCACTTCTGGCTTTTTTCTTTTTGCTTATGTGGTGCTGAGGAATCGTACCCAGGGCCTCAGGCATGCAAGGCAAGCGCTCTACCACTGAGCCACCTTCCCAGCCCCCCCCCTTTTTTTTGTCATGGGGCTTAAACTCTGGGCCTGGGCGCTGTCCCTCAGCTCTTCAGCTCAAGGCTAGCGCTCTATCACTTGAGCCACAGCACCACTTCCAGTTTTCTGGGGGTTCATTAGGAATGAGTTTCATGCACATTCCTGCTTGGGGCGGCTTTCAACTGCAATCCTCAGATCTCAGTCTCTGAGTAGCTAGGATTACAGGCATGAGCCACCAGCACCTGGCTAATATTCCTTTTTTATGGCCTCCTGAGTTGCTAGGATTATAGGCGTGAGCCACCGGCGCTCAGCTAATATTCCTTTTTTATAAGTTTTGTCTCAAAAAACCAGACACTGGTAAATCTTGAGAAGGATATAGCAAAGACCCAGCTTTAGTGCGTACCACGGCGGGGCATCTCAGGGCAAGAAAAGGACAGCCAGCCTAAGTGATGGCAGAAGGATGCGGGAACAAGGACAGCTCATTTCAGCTTGAGATACTTGAGGGAGAGTTCAGGTGGCAGATCACAGCGGTAAAGCCAGGTGGAGAGGTCAGAGACACCAGCCAGCTGGGTAGTGGCCAGGGAGGGAGAACAAAATGCCCAGCAAATGCTTTTATGCTGAAAGCAAGTAGGCGGGCACATGGGCCTCGGTTAACTTGCTGGGTGCTTGGAGGTTTGGGTGGCTGTAGCCAGAGGAGAGCTGAGCGAGGGGCTGTGTTGACCAGAAGCTGGAGGTTAGGTGATATTAATGTTGGCAACTTCTCCAGATACACCGTGGAGCCTTCAGGAGAAAGCAGAGAATGGGGCTGAGCAGATGACAAGGGATGATTTGTCCCACAGGGAGCAAGTAGTCCTTGGAGGAGGAGGAAAGAGGCTTCTATTTTTTGCATATTTTACTGATAACATTGTATTGCTATGATGAAGGTTTTGTACAGAGGGGTTACAATTCCATAAGTCAGGCAATGAAGACAATTCTTTTTGGACAATGTCACCCCTTCCTTGTCTTCCCTCCAGCTTTCCCCTCCGTTCCCTGCCCACAGGTTGCTTAGTTCATTTTTTACATGGTGTCTACTGAATACCATGAGTGCATTTGTTCACCCTTCCTCTCTTCATTCGGCCGCCTGACTGGGAAGCTAAGAACCTGGAGACCCTGTCCCTGGGTCTCAGGTTCATTGTGGCCACTAGGTGGCAGCAAAGGAAGCATTTTTCCGGGCGCTTCAGGGAAAGGAGCTGCCAAGCTACTTCTACCTTCCTGTAGCTCATGACCTTATCCAGTACCCCAAGATCCTCAAAGAACACAAAGTGATCCTGTGGCTGGAAGCAGAAAGGCACATCATGGGAACATGCAGGATGCCCAGTTCCTCCTGTGCCGTACTCCTCCAGGCCTTGTCTATTCCTGCCAGTTGGCAATATTTGTTCCAATCTCATAGCTGGTCTCCTGGGTTCCCATTCTCTACCTGGTTGGCCTGATTTGCACTCAGCACTGGGGCTTCTTGTTCTTGTTCCCTTGATCCAGGCTCTAATACCACATTTGGAAATGAAATGCATGCATAACCAATAATGTTCCATTTCCCATAGCAAGTAGATCATGTAAAAGTTAGAGCTCCAAGAGAGGGAAAAGATTAATTCCAGAGGCAAATGTCTTTGATTTTATATTGTAAAACCAGACAAAAGGTAGAGGTACCCAGAGCTCGGACACAAGCCAGGATGGCTAACCTAAGTCAGAGCTGTGGTGGACCTGCTTGTGACCAGGGAGCCAGCAGAGTGGCCAGGGTTGAGAAGCCCCTTCCTTATTGTTCTTCAGAACCAGTGAGCCACCCTGACAGCCAGCCTCCCTGGTAACCTGTGTGAGTCCTGCTCAGCAGCTCTGGGCTTCCATCTTTCAGCTAGAAAATGAGGTTGATGGAGTTGGGTAATTCCTGTGAACACTCACAGGACCTATCCAAACACAAAAGCTTCCAGTGGCTTCTCTGGACATTACCCTTGCTGCCTGGACCTGGATGTGAATCATCTGTCTCCTGAAGCTCACAAGGAGACAGTAGGGGGGAGCCTGAGGGACCAAGGGGAGCACCTGCCCCTGCAGGCTGTGCTCCGCACCTCCCCTCTCCGCAGAGCCCCGATACCCATCATTGGGCACGCAGGTTCAACTTTGCTGGACATTGGGGTGTAGCAGCTATAGATGTTGGTAAAGGGACGGTCCAGGGGCTAACTATGTCTTTCATTGCTTACCCCGCCCTCTTCTCTCGTCCCTTCCAGGTCCCTGAAGCAATTCGCAAGTGTCAGCGTGCTGGCATCACAGTCCGCATGGTAACTGGGGACAACATCAACACAGCCCGAGCCATTGCGGCCAAGTGTGGCATCATCCAGCCAGGAGAGGACTTCCTGTGCTTGGAGGGGAAAGAGTTCAACCGGAGAATCCGCAACGAGAAAGGCGAGGTAGCTCTGCCACCTCATGCCTGGTGCTGGCTACTCCCCTACTCCGCCCACCCTTCCCACCCCACCCCTGCCTGTCCACCTAGTTTGGCTCTGTAGCATCTATGTGCTTCCCCCAGATAGAACAGGAGCGGCTGGACAAAGTGTGGCCCAAGCTGAGGGTGCTCGCCCGGTCCTCTCCCACTGACAAGCACACTCTGGTCAAAGGTAACTGAGCCCATGTTCTGTCTTCCCTGGGGGGGGGGGGCATGCTGTGTTATCTCCTCTTGGACACCCTAGGCCAGGCTCCCAAATGAATCTCCAGGGCCTGCGTAAGAAGCCAGGGTCCTTGGCTCTAGAGCTATGCTTCTTGAGAGTGGTTGATAGAAGATTCCTAAGAAGCCAGGCACTGGTGGCTCATGCCTGTGATCCTAGCTACTCAGGAGGCTGAGGTCTGCAGATTGTGGTTCAAAACCAGCCCACACAGGAAATTAGACGCTTATCTCCAATTAACCACCTGAAAACTGGAAAGGGCTCTGTGGCTCAAACTGGTAGACCAGCAGCCTTGAGCAAAAGAGCTCAGGGACAGCAGCCAGGCCATGAGTTCAAGCCACATGATGGACCAAAAAGAAAAAGAAAAAAAATTCTTAAGAAAGAAGGGCAAATAGAGGCTGTCCACTCATTGGAACCGATGGGGAAACTGAAGCCCAAGTCAGAAAGGCATTTAACCAACCATTCCACCAAATCACACCACACTGCCTTTGTGGGTGAAGGACTGAGGTGGGAGGAGGGACTTGATCAGAAGGGGACCTGGAACGTAAAGGAAGTCCACTCCCACAATTCCCTTGGCCAGTCCCCCAGAGTGGTGATGACAGATGGCATCAGCCCTGCCCTGCCCCATTTTGTGTTCCAGGGATCATCGACAGCACCACCGGTGAGCAGCGGCAGGTGGTGGCCGTGACCGGGGATGGCACCAATGATGGGCCAGCCCTCAAGAAGGCAGACGTGGGCTTTGCCATGGTAAGGCACCAGTGCCAGCCCAGTTCACCAGGCAGATGAGACCTTGTGTCTCATGGACATTAGCTTTGTACCAGAAAGTAGGAGCCAGTGTCAAAGCAGATTGTGGAGCACTAGAAGGTTCTTTCCCTCCCAACTGGCCCATATAGGCTTAGAATATTAAGGGACAAGTCAGTGGGATCCAGTTACACCACTGACAAGGGCACCAGAGTCTGGGTGCCAGTGGCTCACGCCTGTAATCCTAGCCAATCAGGAGGCTGAGATCTGAGGATCAGTATTCAAAGCCAGCCCAGGCAGGAAAGTCTGTGATACTGTCATCTCCAATTAACTATCAAAAAGCTAGAAATGGAGGTGTAGCTCAAGTGGTAGAGTATCAGCCTTCGGTGGAAAACGCTAAAGGACAGTGCTCAGGCCCTGAATTCAAGCCCCAGTACCGGCACAAACAAAAAGGCAGCAAGATTTGTCAATGATAGCACCCAAAGCAGACTCCTAGCCTCAGAGATAATCAGCAAAGTCTGCAGTGTATTCGTCCTCTGCGGTTTGATCCTGTTGCTCTTGTAGAGCTAAATTTTCCCCTTAAAACCTTGATGCTGATGAGCGCAGTGGTCTGCTAAACACTGCCCACACAGCTGGCCCTGCCCTGCAGGGAACTGCAGGGAACTGGGCTTGGCAGATGAAAGCAGCAGCCTGGACAGGCCTCATTCCCAATCCTAGCAGGAAGCAGCCCCCTTCAAGCAGCATATGTTTTATGTAGCCTAGTGGGGGCCTAGTGCATCCTTCTAGGCGAGACCAAGCAGAGCTTGCCAGATGGGGGCCAGGCGTGGGGTAGGGTGGGTAGGGCCGAGCATCTTTGTAGAATTGTAGCTGCATCAGTATTCATATATTTTAGCAGCAGGGATCCACCTTGCAGACCAATGAATGGGTTCCTTCCTGGCACCAGGGTCCCATGACCTCCCTAAGTAGGCAGTTTCTATAGAATGCTAAGAACAGACAGAGGACTGCGGTGAGGCCGCTTGTGGCAGCTGGGCCGTGTGGAAGGCCATGTGTATGGCCACATCATCAGGACCTTCTGTTTTGGAGCAAAGGCTTCACCTCACCATACACATGTGGCTCAAGATTGGGTTGGATAAAAATAAGTACTGTTGAAGGAAGGGGTGATATTGTCCAAAAAGAAATGTACTCCTTTCCTGACTTATGTAACTATATATCACCTTTATAATAACAATAAAAGTAAAAATTTTAAACAAAAAATAGTAAGGACTGTCGCTGGTTACTGTTGGCTTACACCTGTAATCCTAGTTATTCAGGAGGCTGAGATTTGAAGATTGTGGTTTGAAGCCAACTTAGGCAAGAAAGTGCCTAAGACTCATCTCCTAAACAGCTGGAAGTAGAGCTGTGGTTCAAGTGGTAGAGCACTGCCTTTGAGCAAAAAAAGCTTGAGGAAAACACTAAAGCCCTGAGTTCAAGCCCCAGGACTGGCATTTAAAAATAAAAGAGTACTGTCTGCCCCAGGGGGGGCCTTATTTGGTAGGGAAAGGCAGCCAACCAGCCTGGGTGGACTGGTGGTCAAGTATGGGCTGAGAAAGGAGTCCATGAGCACTCTGTGTTTCTGTGCTATTCCCAGGGCATCGCAGGAACTGATGTGGCCAAGGAGGCCTCTGACATCATCCTGACAGATGACAACTTCACCAGCATTGTCAAGGCAGTCATGTGGGGCCGAAACGTCTACGACAGCATCTCCAAATTCCTGCAGTTCCAGCTGACAGTCAATGTGGTGGCTGTGATTGTGGCCTTCACGGGCGCCTGCATTACTCAGGTGGGCACCAGGGGCTCTCCCTCTCACAGCCCATCGGGCAACTGCTTTCTGAGGGCAATGACTGGCACTGAAGACCTAAGGCCAGAGGACCAGGTTGAGAGCAAGTTTTGTCTTCCCTTCAGGTTCCTTTTATTGAAATCAAATTCACACACTAAATCAATCACCACCTGAGGATGCACAATTCAGTGGGGTTTTCTTTTCAGTATACTTGCCGCATTGTGCAATCAGCACTTGTAGAACTAGTTCTAGAACATTCTCGTCAATCCCAAAGGAAACCCTATACCCATTAACAGTCACTCTCCAGGTCCCTGCCCAAAATGAGTTAATCCTGGCAAACCCCAATCTGTTTTCTGTGGCTATGTTGTGGACATTTCACATCCAGAAAATCAGATAATAGGTGGCATTTAGCATGTAGCCTCTCTCTTAGCATGTTTTTCAATATTCATCCATGTGGGCTGGGAAGGTGGCTCAGTGGTAGAGTGCTTGCCTTGCATGCCTGAGGCCCTGGGTTCGATTCCTCAGCACCACATAACAAAAAAGCCGAAAGTGGCGCTGTGGCTCAAGTGGTAGAGTGCTAGCCTTGAGCTGAAGACCTGAGGGACAGTGCCCAGGCCCAGCGTTCAGGCCCCATGACCGGACCAAAAAAAAAAAAAAAAATCAATATTCATCCATGTTATAGCTTGGGTCGGTACTCCATTCCCTGGTGTGTATGTGTGTGCCAATCTGGGGCTTGAACTCAGGTCCTGGGCACTGTCCCTGAACTTTTTTGCCTAAGGCTACCACTTAAACCACAGCCCCATTTCCAGCTTTTCACTGATTAATTGGAGATAATACTCCCATAGACTTTCTTGCCCATGCTGGCTTTGAACCACGATTCTCAGATTTCAGTTTCCTGAGTAGCTAGGATTATTTATAGGGATGAGTCACCAGCGCCTGGCTCCATGCTCCATTCCTTTTTCTTTTTTCTTTTTATTTGGTTGGCCGTGGGGCTTGAACTCAAGGCCTGGTGCTGTCCCTGAGCTCTTTTGCTCAAGGCTAGTGCTCTACCACTTTGAACTTCAGCACCACTTCCAGTTTTTTCTTGTGGTTAATTGGACATTAGGATCTCATGGACTTTTCTGCCCAGGCTGGCTTTGAACTGTGATCCTCAGTTCTCAGCCTCCTGAATAGCTAGGATTGCAAGCTTGAGCTACAAGCCCTTGGCTTTTTTGAAGACTTTTTAATTGAGATCTAATTCATGTGATATTAGTATTATAATAGTTAAAGTATTTTACAATGTACACAGATTTTTCATAGGTATATAGTGCTATACAACTTTCACCACTGTATGCTTCTAGAATATTTTCATTTCCAGTAAGAAACCCTCTAACTATTAGCAGTCAGGCCCTATCCCCTTCCTCCCACTCCAAGGCACTTCTCATATGCTCATGAAATCATAAGAGTTCATTTATATGACACATGGCCTTATGCATCAGACTACTGTGAGGCTGCTTTGTGTGTGTGTGTGTGTGTGTGTGTGTGTGTGTGTGTGTGTGTGTGTGTGTGTGTGAACCACTACTACTGGGGCTTAAACTCAGGGTTTCATACTCTCCCTTGGCTTTTGTTCAAGGCTGGTACTGTACCACTTGAGTCACACCTCTGCTACTGGCTTTTTGCTGGTTAGTTGGAGATGAGTCTCTCGGAACTGTCTGCCCAGCCTGGCTTTGAGCCATGATCCTTAGATCTCAGCCTCCTGAGTAGCTAGGATTACAGGTGTGGGCCACCAGCACCAGACTTAGGAGGCTGATTTTGAAAGAACAACCCAGAGGATATGACCAAGCAGTCAGTAAGACACAAGGTTTGGCCTTTTCTTACTCTGTGGGGTGGGAGATAAGGACAGTAACCACCACTCTGGCCCTGAAAGGCAGCCCCCTGTCCCTGGGCCTAGGCTAGGGCACTGGCTGGGCCCTCAGGCCCCACTAAGAATTCAAACCATGCCTTCCAGATCACTCCCAGTAAGCAAGAGAAGGGAGATGGGCGGGCATCTGAAAGGCCAGCAGAAAGCCACTGCTAGCCTAAAGGAAACTGTGGGAATAGCTCTTCGCAGGCACTGCAGGCTTTCTATCTCAAGGCTTCCCAGTAGGAGCCTGGTGGCTGCTCTGTGGAAGAGTGACTGCCTGTTCTCTGCAGGACTCTCCTCTCAAAGCCGTGCAGATGTTGTGGGTGAACTTGATCATGGACACTTTTGCCTCTCTGGCCCTGGCAACGGAGCCCCCCACTGAGTCACTGCTGCTGCGGAAGCCATATGGCCGGGACAAGCCCCTCATCTCGCGCACCATGATGAAGAACATCCTAGGCCATGCTGTCTACCAGCTCACCATCATCTTCACCCTGCTTTTTGTTGGTAGGTTGGCCCTAGAGTGCTCCCTCCCACCCTCCCTCCCTTCCTCTCTCTCTCTCTGTCTCTCTCTCTCTCTCTCTCTCTCTCACACACACACACACACACACACTTTTCAGCTGTGTGCACAAGGTCTTCAGCACACTGTTGGTGCCCCGTGCGCTTGGGCCATGACTAGCTTACATTATGTATAATCCCTGCCAACCACAGAGGGAGACATCACAGATTTTGGATGTTTTGGGTTTTGCTATTTCTGGTCCTTGAGCTCAGCTTGTTATTCACAGCTGGCAGTCTGCCACTTGAGCCATGCCTTTAGCCTGGCATTTTGCTACTTTTTGGAGATGGAATCTTGTGGACTTTTTGGCCAGGGCTAGGCTTCAAAGTGTAATCCTTCAAGTCTCAGCCTCTTAAGTAGCTAGGATTACAGGTGGGAGCTGCTGATGCCTGCCTATATACTCCTTTTGGGAGGGGGCGGTCATGAGGCTTGAACTCTGGGCCTGGGTGCTGTCCCTGAGCTCTTCAGCTTAAGGTGAGGACTCTACCACTTGAGCAACAGCACCACTTTCGTTTTTCTGAGTGGTTTATTGGAGATAAGTCTCATGGATGTGGATGTTCCTGCCTGGGCTGGCTTTGAACCGCGATCCTCAGATCTCAGCCTCCTCAGTAGCTAGGATTAGAGGCATTAACCACCAGCACCCGGCTACATAGTCCTTTTTGACAGAATGGCAAATGAAAAAGGAAGAGGCCTGCTTGGTTCCCTTGGCCCTCACTTACCTCTCCATGGCCCCTCACTGTGGGTGTCCCACCAGGCACCCCAGGCCATGATGTGCTAAAGACCCTCGTCAGCCCTCCCTCCCCTTTCCCCCGTGTCCTCCCTCCAGGGGAGCTCTTGTTCGACATCGACAGTGGGCGGAATGCACCTCTGCACTCACCGCCATCAGAGCACTACACCATCATCTTCAACACCTTCGTCATGATGCAGCTCTTCAATGAGATCAACGCCCGCAAGATCCACGGCGAGAGGAATGTCTTCGATGGCATCTTTAGCAACCCCATCTTCTGCACCATTGTTCTGGGCACCTTTGGAATTCAGGTGAGAGGGGAGGCTCCATACTCGGCCTCTGCTACCTGCAAGATGTTGAGGCCCCGGGCTTCCGTCCTAGGGCTCCCCTGGTACTGGCCAGTTGTGCCATTCATGATTTTCCTCCAACTCACACCCTTGCTGCACTCCAGGGCAGATGGTCTTTGCCCTCCAAACATGGCTGAGCTTCCTTGCTGGCTTCCAGAGGGATGGATGTGCCTGTACATCTGTGTTCTCTTTACCGGTGTCACAAGTAGCCCTTCCTGCTTGCTCCCCACCATGCCAGGGTCTGCCATTCCCATTCCTACCATCTAGTTCCTTGCGCTATGGCTGTTGTAACTATAAAAGGTTCTGTTGGAGATGTCAGCTGTGCTCAGGGGTGGAATGCCATCCTCTGCCTGCCACCGTGACGTGGATAGGCTGGGCAGCCCAGCTCTCCAGGAAGGGCTGAGTATTCTGATATATAGTGTTTTCCGATGGACTATAGTAAGGGCCAGTGGATTGAGAGCTAATTGCCAGTGCCCGTGCTCACACTTGTAATCCTAGCTACTCAAGAGGCTGAGTTCTGAGGATCATGGTTCAACACTAGCCTGGACAGGAAAGTCCATAAGACTCTCACCTCCAACTGAGCATCAAAAAAGCTGGAAGTGGAGTTGTGGCTTAAGTGGTAGAGCACTAGCCTTGTACACAAATGCTCAGACAGTGCCTGGGCTGAGTTCAAGCCTTAATATTTGCACACACACACACACACACACACACACACATAAAAAGAGATGCTTGCCACTGAAAGAGTCCATTACTCACAAATCCCAAGGAAGATATGCCATATTATGGGAGCTGTACAGAAGTTCTGGTCAGCAGGCAGATGGTGGGAAGATTTGATGGTTCCCCCAGAACAACTCTTAGTGGGGTCGGGCCAGGAATCTTAAGATTGGTTGCTGGGGATCCTTTCAAGCCCATTGTGGGGCTTTCTTTGTTTATTTGGTACCTGGCGGGGGGTGGGGGGGGGGCAGAGATGAACTATGTACTGGGCAGTCTGCATTTGAAAAGCTTGCTGGCCTGGGACTATGACACCTCCAAAAGTGGAGGATAATGAGGCAGGAGGCAAGGCAAGATGACCTGCATGGTCTGAGGTCAGCAGCACAGGGTGTCTGCTTTGTGCAGGCAGGTTGGGTATAGAAATCATCTGATTTGGAGAGCTGAAATGTGGTCCATCCAGCTAAGTATGGGGCTTGAGTGAGGGGAGGTGGAGGCTGACACATGAGGCGTTTTGCCCCCAAAAGGAAAGTCAAGCTGTCTCTCAAGGAACGACTAGCTTATCTGCCAAGGGAACCAGTAATCCAATGACTCTGATCAGGAGGCTCTGCCTACCAGGAGGCTAGGCGGGTCTGGAAGGCAGGCCTGGCAGAGGGCAGGCAGGAGCTGTGCTGGTGGTCCACTGCCACTACACCTCCATTCCCCTCCTCCTGCAGATCGTCATCGTCCAGTTCGGCGGGAAGCCCTTCAGCTGTTCCCCGTTATCCACAGAACAGTGGCTCTGGTGCCTGTTTGTTGGCGTTGGGGAGCTTGTCTGGGGACAGGTAAGCGTGTCTGATCGGCCTTCTCCCCTTGCCCCTTCCAGTTGGCTCTGCTGCTGACACTTATAGTGGACAAGATGACTGGGTCCTGGCTAACCGAAGGTCTTTTTGTGGCAGCCACCCTTCCGCTCCAGAGCCTGCCCTTCGGGAAAGCATGTGGTGCGGTCAAATGGGCAGCCCTGCACAATAGGATTCAGGCCTGGGACATACTATGACCCGGAGGCACCAGGTGACAGCACCAGCAATGAGAACATGAGGGATGATGGCTGAGCTGCTCCCCTTTTCATGATAGCTGCCCAAACCTGCCCCTAAAATCTGGATGGCTTAGGAACTGGGCTGCAACTTGGTGGTAGTGCAATCACCTTTGTATGAATGAGGGCCTAGATTCCATCCCAAGCACCACACACAGAAAAAAACAAGGATCTGAATGGCTTGGGAAATCCCCACATATTGGAAATTAAACAAAACCATACTAGGTAATCTGTGAGGCAAAGAGAAGGTCTTGAGAGAAATCACGATACAGTTATTTTAACCTGATAGAAAGAGAGAGAACCACAATTCCAGACCCATGGGCTACAGCTAAAGCTACTCAAGGGGACCATTTATAATATCTACATTTAGATCAGGGACCCGGGTAGCCCTAGCCTACCTGCCATGGCTACATGGTCTTTGAAGGCATTTCTCCAGAGTTGTGTAACACTAGCCTAGGAAACTGAATCCAAGATCCATTTCTCTTCTTTTTTAGCTCAGACTACCACTAAATATATACCACAGACTGAGTACAGTGACTCATGGCTATAATCTCTTCTATTTGACAAGTGGAGATTGGGAGGATCAGTTCAGGTCAACTTCAGGCAAAAGTCAGCATAATCTTACTTCTGAAACAATCCAAGCATGGTGACCCACTCCTGTAACTATGAAGGAAGTAGAGGTAGGAAGCTCTCAGTCCAAGGCCTGCTCAGGACAAAAAGCGGAAGACCCTACCTGAAAAGTAAAGAAAAAAGGCTGGAAGCATGGCTTCAGTAGTATGGCGATTGCCTAGCCGGCACAATGCCCTCATTTTAAACCCAGTACCTGAGCTCAGACTTCAGTAATACAAAAAAAAAAAAAAAAATGTGTGTGTGTGTTCCATCATAGACTGCCAGCTTATAAAACAAGTATTTTCTTTCAGTCCAAAGTGAAGATTCCAGCCAAGTCAGTCTCTGATGCGGGTCCCTGCTGGACTTGTAGCCGGCCATCTTGCCACTGCGTGCTCATAAGGGGTGAAGAGGGGAGAGGCGTGTTCTGGTGTCTCCTCTTCTTAAATGTTTTAAACTTTTTATTGTGATTATAATGGTGATTGTACATAGGGGCTACAGCTATATAAGTCATGTAAAGAATATGTTTCCTTTTGGACAATGTCACCCCCCCTTCCCTTCCTGTCTCCCAGTTTTTCCCTCCCATCCCCACCCACACGTTGTATAGTTCATTTTCAACATAGTGTCTAGTGAGTACCGCTGCTGCATTATATTCGCCCTTTGTCCCTCCATTTCTGCGCTTCCCCTTACCCTCCCAAACACAGAGAAACAAACAAACGAGAGAAAAAAGAAGAGAAACAAAAACAGCAACAAAGAAAAGATCTTTTGTTTCCATTTCCTGGAGCTCATTTCGATTGGTGTCTCCTCTTAAGGGCTCAAATCTACTAAGATCAGGGGCTCAGCCTGATGACTTCATTAATACTGCCACGCTGGGGGTTAGGTCTGCCACAGGAACTTAGTGGAGGAACTCAGGTCAGCCAATAGCACTTTGTTTTGTTTCTTAATTTACTGGTGATTCCCCAAGCTGGCTACTACAGTAGGTCATGTCCTTGCAGGCCCCTGGCATTAGTCCTGAGGGACTGCCCACCCAGTGCCTTCAGCTTGTTTTCCTTCCACCAGTGGAGCTCCCATCCCATTCCCCCTCATGCCTCATTATCCCGTGGAATTCTTTAATTTCCCACAGCCTTGACTCAACGCACTTCTCACAACCCTGGTGATGTCAGTGTCTGACCTTTTGGCCACATATTGCAGGTCCATCCTCTACCCCTAACCCCACACACAGTGCCAGCCTCTAGCTCAACCCCTCAGGACTATGGAGTGGTCTTTTCTATTGTTAACCTTATTGGCGCTGTCCCTGAAGTTGTTTTTTTCTTTTCTTTTCTTTTACCTTGAGGCTAGCACTATACCACTTGAGCCACATTTCCAGCTTTTTGGTGTTTCATTGGAAATAAGTTTCATGGACTTTTCTGCCCAGGCTGGTTTTGAACCAAGATCAGATCTCAGCCCCTGAGTAGCTAGGATTACAGGTTTGAGCACTGGTGTCCAGCTTTTTTAATGACCTTTTTTAATTACAAAAATAAGATGTGTTTGGGTGGGGAAAAAATCCAACAGAAAAAAATTTCCATGAGAAAAAAAAACTCCTAAGTCTGCTCTTGGCCATGTCGACAGGTTTCTGCTCAGACATCCAAGATGAGAGAATCCATATTCTTTCACATGATGACGTGGAAAAAAGCCAGGCCTTCTCTTCACTCTTACCTGGCTCTTTCTTCTCCTGCCCTTCCCAGCTGTCACCCTCCTTGTCACTCTCCTCCCTGTCAGCCATTGATCCCAGGTCTTTTTCTAGACCTTTATCCTCCACAATTCTCCCAGGGAGTCACATACTCACACTTGCCTTTCTGAGTTAATAGTGAAAGACAGCATGTGTGGAATCTGGTCAGCTAGGAAAAACACAGTCTGTGGTGCCCAGAGTTTTTCATTGTCTGGCACATTGCCATGCAGTGCCCAGATGGCTGGCCTCATTCTCCAATCCCTTTGTGACCCAAGATCCCCAATATAAATCATGATATTTGCATAGACTAGCAGGTGGTCCAAGGCTGGGAATGAACCATACACCTCTCAAGCAGGAGGTTTGGTGCATTCCAGGGTCTGGGAAGGTGGCTTAGTGGTAGAGTGCTTGCCTAGCATACATGAAGCCCTGAGTTCAATTCCTCAGTATGACATACACAGAAAAAGCTGGAAGTGGCACTGTAGCTCAAATGGTAGAGTGCTAGCCTTGAGCCAAAGAAGCTCAGGGACACTGCCCAGGCCCAGAATTCAAGCCCCAGAAATGGCCCAAAAAACAAAAACAAAAACAAAAAAAGATTCATTCCAGGAGTAGGGCCGGGGCCCGACCTGACTTTACTGCATAGTGCTCAATGGTGGACATCCCAGCTGTTTTCCCAGCCCTCTAGGTGGAGGAGATTCACTGGGGGAGGAGGAATCTGCTGTGGGAAGAAGCCAGTTTAGGAAACCATAGTCTTCCAGGCCCAAGGAAATGCCAGGCCCCAGCGTGTGGGGGCAAGGGGTGTGGCCTCTGCTCTCTTCCTGCCTCCCAGCAAAGCTTGTTCTTATGCCACCTGTTTGCTGTCACTGCACTGCGACTCCCCCAGGTCATCGCCACCATCCCCACCAGCCAGCTGAAGTGCCTGAAGGAAGCAGGGCACGGGCCCGGGAAAGATGAGATGACGGATGAGGAGCTGGCCGAGGGGGAAGAGGAGATTGACCACGCTGAGCGGGAGCTCCGCAGGGGCCAGATCCTCTGGTTCCGAGGCCTCAATCGGATTCAGACGCAGGTAAGACACTGTTTCTCTTGGCTCTCCTGGTGCTTCCGCCCAGAGAGGGTAGGAAACAGGCAAGAAGCAGGGACTGGGCAAGTAGAACCTGAGGGAAGCCCGTAGGTCCTGCTGCCAAGCACACGCAGTTTCTAGCATCCCATCTGCCATCTTGGTGTACTCACTGCTCCTTGGGGGCAGAGATGGCCTCTGCCTGACACAGCCTTCAGGGCCAGGAAACTAAAAGTATATGCCAATGACCAACGGCCAGCTCTCAGGGGCTCAAACCAGCACAGCCCCCTTTACTTGGTGAGGACTGCCACCAGGCCATGGGCAAGTTATGTTCTTGGAAAGACATGCCCACTTCAGAGAGCAAGCACCACATACACTGGCACATACTGTAATGACTGCTCAGAGTATTCCTTTAAGGAATCGACTGCCACAAATTGGTCCTTTCTCTTGATCCAAAGGCTATAAAGTCAAATGATCACTGTACCACCCAGTGGTAGGCATTTTTGAAGACTTCACAAGAGCTGGTGTGCTACAGCTACCCTTACGTCTGCCTCTAGCTCTTCCCTGGCCAACTTTCCTGCCAGAAGGTTCCAGATCCTTCCCTGGTACCCTGTCATGATTGTACTACCCAGAAACAGCTCTCGCCATAGCTTACAAGGTCTCCGCCTGCTCCATCATTCCTCCTTACCAGTCACTCTGGCAGCTTACTGTCCCTTCTGAGTCTCTCTGCTCCTGCTAAGCCCATCTGTCACTCAGCCCATGCTTTGCCATGCTATAAACCCCTCTGGCCTAGTAGAGAGGGAAGAGATCCATTGGGGGCTCTGTCTACCTTTGTCCTATAGCACACCCCCCTGGCCTGGACTACCTACCCTTCCCTAACATCCTCTGGACAGCCTCAGCCCTCTCAAGTTACCACCTTCCCAAGGGCCTAGTCACCTTCTCTTAGGTGACAGTCCCTAAGTCCGGACCTATTGCCAATCACTTCTCCCTGGGGACTTACCAGCGCAGGCACGGCCACCTGGCTGGATCTCCCTTGGGAGTCTGTTGGAACAACTTCCTAGGGAAAGACCTGAGAATCTTCTGGTTCTACTTTTATCCTGCCTACCATACATAGTGACAGCTTGTCCCTAAGATGTCGTTAGTGCCCCATTCCTTCCTAATCTACACAGCTGCTCCCCTACAACCCCATGGATCTGATAGGTTCCCGCCTGGGGCGTCCCTCCTCCCGTGTCTGGGTCCCAGTCTCAAACGAAACCCTGAGCTCGCCATTTCCACTACTCCACTCATCTTGCTTAGCTCAGCCCCTCTGGTGCCACCTCCATGCTGGGGCCTATGAAGCCTCTCTCCAATGCCCTGAGGATGAAGTCCAGGCACTTGATTGTGGTCCTTGAAGTTCCATCCTGTTGGTATCACCCCATTCCTCTCCACACTCTGTGACCCTGACTGCCTTTCCAGATGTTTACGATGCTCATCCATGCTTCTGTGCCTCCCTCCTTGCTGCTGCATGCTGCCCCCAGTGCCCTCTCTTCACCATACAAAAGCCCGCTCAACAGCCACCAAGCCTTGTGAAGCCTTCTCACTCTACTCCCTCCTGCTACCATGGGCCAGTTCCGCACCCAGCTTAGAGCACTGAGTCCAAGCCTGTCACTATGATCTGGGGAACTTTCTAGAACTGCAGTCTTCAAGCCTACCTCTGGAGAGTGGGATCCTGAAAGGCTGAGTAAGACAGCATCAAAGAAGCCAATGCTAAATGTCTCTGGGCCTAGAGAGAACTTTCTAGCTGAGAATCAGGGGGCTGGGCAGGGAAGGATCTCCTAGGTGCACATCTTAGCTCTGACTTGTCCAGGACACAGAGGCCCAGGAGAAAAAGAGGGCAGCTGTGGGAGCCATGGCCAGAGTCTCCTCTCCCAAGTTCGAGTGCTAACTGCTCACGCCATGCCCAGGCCAGGTCAGGAGTACAGCCTATATAGTGTTTTCTTGTTCCCCACAATAAATATTTCTGTGCTAATTTGAAAGCATATCAAATGTTTAAAAAAAAAAACAGCCCTCACATATTCCCCAGTACTCCATCTAGGAGACTGCAGAGCCTGGGGTGGGGGTGGATACAGACAGAAGCTCTGCCCCTGCATCTGAAGTGTCAGCAATAGCTTGGCCATCTGTGTCTGTCATATCTTTATATGTCTGTGGACTGCTTGGCCTGTTACCACTGCCTGACTAACAGAAGTGAGTCCCATCAGTTGGAGTTGTGATTTTCCATGCCATTCTGATGGTTGGCACCCTTGGAGATGCTTTACAAGCAAGGAAATGGTGGGAAGGAGCTGGCCCAAAGTCACCCAGTGAGAGTCAGGACTGGCCAGGGCTGGCTAGGGCCCAAGGATCTCGCGATAGTTCCCCCCAGCACATTCCTTTTCCTTCTATAAAGCTACTCTGATTCTTCCGCAGGATCTCGATGCTGGGGGCTTTTCAGTTTGACTTTATCATATCAAATTTACCATGTCTGTAAAGAATGCTGAGCCAATCAATTATTTTAGCTCAGGTTTATAGACTTTCTGCTTCTTTGATTCAAAACGCCTGCCTGAAAAGCAAAACTAAAGCCTGCAAGAGGCCCCTTGGGTTCCATACATTTTTCTAGGCAGCTGGCCCCAGATTTCTGGATTTTTGTGAACCACAAAATTGCTCCCCAGATTTCTGAGGCCTGCATATTTTCTGTTGCTAAGTAACCCATTACCCTCTCTCAGCACTGTTCCCTACTGATGTATCAATGCACCAGATGCCAGGGTGTCATTCTAGAATAAAAGAGAGTCCTTCAAACCCAGAACATGTAGCTGTTTGAATGCTCATAATGCGGTCTGTCTTTTGTGCATTCCATTATAAACCAGTAAGAAGCTTCACCAACAAGTGGGCCTTGTTCCTGGCCCAGGGCTTGGGCTCCTGGTGGGAGGGGGTGACAGGGTGGTATGTTCACTGGTCCTGTTGTCCCATGGGAAGGCTGCATGGAACCAGGAGAAGCCAATGCAAATCTGATGCAGGAAAGGCATGTTTCCCTTTCCTTGTCATCTCCCCCCACCCCCACCAATAACTGTCCTTGCTTGAAAGAGACCTGTCTCTATAGCCCAGACATACTTAAACCTAGAGGAAATCCCCTCAAGAGGCTGTGACACCATCACCTCGCCATCTTCCTTCCATATGCTGACACACGGCCGCCAGCTACCTTACCACGTGCGTCTCTGCTGCAGTCACAAGCAAGGGAGCAAGGGAGTGGGCTGGGCTGGGCGAAAGTGGTGCTGAGCAGGTCGAGTAGAAGGATGATGAGTCTTTTCCACAGTGCGTCCAAGGTCCAAACGATGTCCATCTGTATTTTGGTTGGGGGAGAGTGAACAGTCAAGCTGCCTTCTTCAAGAAGCCCCGGGCTCTGTCCACCACACAGCTGAAGCTGGGGCGTACCGTGGAGCCACTGGGGTGGGACAGGTAGTAAGGGTGCTGGAGCTGCAGACATTCACACTGGCTTTGCTGTTCATGTCATCTGGCGAAGTACATGGTGTTTTCTAGAAATCAGCTTCACCCTGTAAGGCCAAAGATTCTTCATACTGAGGTCATTCCCTAAGAGGAGGTTGTGAATGTGCCACACTGCACACTAGCAGAGTCTCGGTATGGGGTCTCGTGATGGGAACAGTGTCACATGTGGTCACTAGACTCCAGTTCCTTGGGATCCCGCTACCTGCGTGTAGCTCACTTAAAAGTGGAGTCCAGAAATCTAAAGTTGGGCGGGGGGTGTTTAGCAGGCTTTATACACAAAGCTCTCCCATGAACCTTGCTGTTCAGAGACCTTCTTCCTTTTCAATTCCACAGATGTTAGAGTGGACACATAAGCTTGGTGCCGGTGGCTCACGCCTGTAATCCTAGCTCCTCAGGAGACTGAGATCTGAGGGTTGCAGTTCAAAGCCAGGCCAGGAAGGAAAGTCCACGAGACTCTTAACTCTAATGAACTACTCCAAAAACAAAAGTCAGAAATGGATATGTTCAAGTGGTAGAGTGCTAGCCTTGAGCCAAAGAAGCTCAGGGGCAGAACTCAGGCCATGAGTTCAAGCCCCAGGACTGGCACCAAAAAAAAAAAAAAAAGGAGGGACATAGCAGAAACCATCATTGCACGCCAGTCTTCCAAGTCTCCATGCCTGTGGGTCTCTTGTTGAGGGTCCCTATAAGCTGTAGGTCTGCAGAGCCCCTGCTTAGGGAAAGACAAAAGATGAAAGAAGAAGACTCCCTGACAGAGATGCCCAACCCGTGTGCCCCGAGGTGCACCGGCGCACCTCCGATCTAATGGGAGAGCGGCCTCTTTCTAATGAGAGCGTGTCATATCCCTCAGGTGTGTTGGGGCGGCAAAAAAGGTTGAGAGCTACCGAAGTAGGATAACAAAGTATTGCCAGACACAGGTACTGACTGACTTGTACTGAGTGGCTTGTGATGAGCATATTGTGAATGCCAATGACTACTTCTGAAATGTTTGCGGTGTGCCCTGCCCACCCCCTCACCCCCATCTGTAACCCTTCCCTGGCAATCCCACCAGCACTAATCATATGCCCAGCAAATCCTCTCTAGGTCACAGCCTGGTCACAAGCAGCGTCAGCTCTCCATGAGCGGGGCTGACCTAGTTGAGGCTTTGCTGTCACTGTGTCCCCCCAGTGTGGTCCCCAGCCTCGCCCTGCCCTCCCCCCTGCAGTGGCATGGACCATAGTGCAAGCCAACCTTTATCTCGTTTTCTCTCCCACAGATGGAGGTAGTGAGTACCTTCAAGAGAAGCGGGTCATTTCAGGGTGCTGTGCGCCGGCGGTCTTCGGTCCTCAGCCAGCTCCATGACGTAACCAATCTTTCTACCCCTACTCACGTAACTCTCTCTGCCGCCAAGCCCACCAGCGCTGCTGGCAGTGAGTCTTGACTTCCCTTTTCTCTCATAAATGGCATCTCAGGGGAAGATAAAGCCTCCCCAACTCTGCCTTCTCTTTTTTCCAGTC